TTTTGATAATATAGTTGTTCGACAAGCAAATGGTATTCAATTTCTCATTTACAATTATATAGAATTCTTCATGAAGTATTTATATGAAATTTTTAGAAGAAAAAAAAACAAAAATTAAGAAAATAATAATTTTCTTAATTTAATATAAATATATATGTAAATATTTCTTAGGTCAATTGGCATTAACAATGAATTTATGTGGTCAAACACCATTATTTTGTGCAGCTAAAGAAGGTCGAACAGAAATAGTTAAATATTTATTAGATCGTGGAGCTAATCCACGTGTTCAAAATCATTATGGTGTTAGTGCTTTATGGATTCCAGCACAAAAAGGCATGTTACAAGTTGTTGAATTATTATTAAATGCCGGTGCTGAAACACATGTTGCACCATTTGGTAATCTAGCTGATGAATTAAATATAACTGGTTGGACACCACTTTATGCTGCAATGAAATCTCGAAAATTTGATGTTGTTAAATTACTTCTTAAACGTGGTGCCGATCCAAATGCTGTTACAAAATTAGGTTCAACACCATTTTTACTTGCATCTGAAATATGTGATTTAGATATAATTGAAGCATGTGTTGAAGCTGGTGCTGATCTTGATTTTGCACCAAGTGGTCCAGATGCTGATAATTTAAATATAACTGGTCAAACAGCACTATTTATGGCAACATTAAAAGATCGTGTTGATGTTGTGAAATTTTTAATATTAAAAGGAGCACATGTTAATGTACAAAATCGTTATGGTGTATCACCATTACTTCTTTGTGCCGAATCGGGAAATTATGAACTTGTTCAAGCACTTGTACAAGCTGGAGCTAATGTTAATATAACACCACAAGGTGAATTAGCTGAAGAAAATTTTCTTGCTGGACAGGTAATTATTTTTTTGAAATATTAATATTTAAATAACTTCTCATAGAATAGAAGTTCGTAATTTTTACAAGTTGAAAAATATGTACGTAGAAATATTATAATAAGAGACAACTGTATACAATCTAGAATTGAAATATTCATAAGATCTAAACTAACTGTTTCATAAAAATGAGAAGTTCTTATATAGTAGTCAAGGGTTTGTTTTATACTTCTACATTTCCGTAGGTTTCTAAACAGTATAAAAACTTCTAAAATGGTATCACCTAAGAGAGCTATATCAAAATTTTGTTTTTCAATTCTTTTAAAGAATCGTATTTAACCTATTTATATTCGAAGTACTGATAACAGATGAATGAGAAAATTGGTGTAATAAAATGCATCATTCATATTATTTGATATCATAAAATTGTAAAAGTATTGAAGTCAATTTATAATCTTATGCATTTTTGTGCTTTGTACGCAAATTAAAGTTGATTACAATTTTTTTGTCACGAAATGAAAATAGATTTTATTTCAATGTTTAGAAAAATCATTAATTATTATTTTATTTTAGACGCCTCTCTTTGGTGCTGCCAAGAAAGGTCATGTAGATATTTGCGAATATCTTATTAAAAATGGTGCCGATGTCAATGCTATAACAATGGTATATTGTTTGAATCAATAATATATATATATATATGGGGTGGCCAACTTGACTAATACCCCGTTTTGAAGCAGCCCTATTGTAAGGATAAAACCTATTATTGTCCAGGCCATATAAGACAGGATCCTATATAACCCTGCATTGGCCCGAACAACAACATGTTTTATGATTATAATAGTAGAGAAAAGCTAGCAGATCACATGACAAGCTGGTAGCTGTTCTTCACTATTGTAAGGATAAAACATGTTGTTGTTCGGGCCAATCCAGGGTTATATAGGATCCTGTCTTATATGGCCCGGACAATAATAGGTTTTATCCTTACAATAGGGCTAAATCAAAAAGGGGTATCAGTCAAGTTGGCCATCCCCATATATATCTACAATATTCTATATTTAGACTGGTGCCACTCCATTGTACACAGCAACTGAAGAAGGTCATTTAGAAGTTGTTCGATTATTAATTCGTCATGGTGCTGATGTAAATCGTTCACCAAAAGGACAAGTTGCACGTGATCTTCATATTGAAAATCAAACACCTTTATTAATAGCATGTATGAGAAATCATGAAGCAATTATTCGACATTTAATTGAATCAAATGCAAATGTTAATGTAACATCTGAACGTGGTTCATCACCATTTCTTGCCATTTGTCAGCATAATAATGTTGAATTAGCACGATTACTTATTCAACATGGAGCTGGACATGATGTTGAAGCTAAAAATTTATATGATGGAAAAATTAATGGTTTAATTGTTGCTGCTGAATCGGGATCATTTGATACATTACGTTTATTAGTTGAAGCCGGTTTAGATGTTAATTATAAAATTGAAGGAAAAGTAAGATAGAAATTAAATAAAAGAATTCATTGAGAAATTTTTTTTTTTTTTTCATTAGGGTGAAACAGCTGGTCGTACACCTCTATTTTGTGCATGTGCGAAAGGCTTTCAAGATATTGTTGAATATTTAATTGATCGAGGAGCTGATGTTAACGGAACAGAAAAAGTAAGTTTTATTTTATTTTTTAGAGATTTGTCAGTTATTCTATACTTGATTTTGAAGTTATCATGAATATTTTCGAACGAAATAACAATTTCAAATGATAAGTTGTTTTCTGAGTATGAAACTACTCAAAAGAATAAATATTCTTAGAGTTTTCTTCTAGGAATTATAGCATTTTACGCAAGTTTTAAGATATGACATGATATAAAACAATCAATCGAATCAAGGATATTTCGATTTGAATTTTGTCCTACATATTGAGTCAATTTGTGACTAAAATTTCAATTTCAAAAAAAATGTTTTCTTCGTAAAGTATTTAGTTTCCAAAAAAAAAATTATTCATAGCAGGCAAAAAATTGTGCAAATATCGGATGTTTTGGTAATTCAATATCTTGTAAAGGAAACATTATTTTGACCTGAAATTTTCACGACACACTGGTTACAAGTTTATGTCTCGGTGTATCATATCCTAAAATGGCTATAACTCTGAATAAAATGTCTAAAGGAATTTGTTCTTTCTCAACACGATCTATCTTATACATATAAGGTCCGGAGTAAAAGAAACAATTCTTCACTTGAAGTGGCTCTCTCGTAAGAGGAAGTAATGAATAGCTGAAATTTCGCATATAAACAGATCAAATAACTATTATTATATTCTGAATGTTGCAGCCGAAAAGAATGCTCGAATATCAATATATTAAATTTCCAAAAAATGTCAAGATATTCTATCAGTTATTCGACCTATTTATGAGTAAAATTCAGTAAGACAGTTATAACTCGACTTCAGAGATCCATAAACCTCGTTCAACTATGAAATATTTTGAGAAAAAAATTTTTTCTTTAAATCAAATAATTTTCATATATATAAGTAAATAATAGTTCAACTTTCTAATTGGATGTTTAACATTTCATCGATGTAAATTTCTTTATATAATATTATAATTTATTTAGAGTGGTCTCTCATGTTTGCACATAGCAGCAGCTATGGGTCATGCTGATACAGTTCGAATTTTATGTGAACGTGGTGCCAATGTTGATCAACAATTTCGATTCGAAGAACAAGATGTAACTGCATATGATTTAGCCGAATCTCAGCAACATGATCATGTATGTCAAGTACTTAAAAATTTCGGCGCACGACAGCCACCACATAGTACATTGCCCAGCCATGTTGAACCTAATAAATAAATATATTCCTTTTCTCTCACTGTATATCTAACTACAACGTCCCGTTGTTCGTACTTTATTTATTCCTTTTTCTTTTTTCTTTTTTTTTTGTGTCTCTTCGATCGATGGTTGCTCTTATTGTTCTAAATCTTTTTTTTTTTCGTCGTTTTGTGCGCCCAACTGTGTGTAATTTTTTTTGCTGTCTTCTGTATTGTCTTTAATGTTCGCCAGTACACGAGCTCACATTCTTTTCTTTTTTTTTTTTTCAATATCTGCGTTCCTGTCTTTTTTCGTTATTGAAGAATTCCTATGTGCATGCGTGCGCGTGTGTGTGTGATCTAGAGAAAGAAAGATATTCTAGGAATAAAAGTGAACAAAATAGTGTGTGTGAGAAAAAAAAAAAAATAATGATAGCTGCATTTTAATTTTTTTTCTTTATTCAATATAAGAACAAAAACACAATATATCTATTAAAATAGGTTTTAGATTAAGACTATCATAGAAATAAGAATCGATTTGAATAATGAAAAGCAAAAAAAAATTAAAGATATAGTTGTGCATGATCATCTAACCAATTAATATATAATCAGTTGTTTTTTTCGAATAGTTTGAAACATTGAAGAGAGAGAGAATGAGAAATATGTCAGATATTAAATGCTATGATACAGACTGAAATAAAGAAATTGCAAACAAAGAGATTCTATGAAGATTTCAATTTTGTGATTTTTACTAAATTGTAGATAATAGTGTCACACGAAAATTACACTATAACGATTTGATCGTATACAATAAATATAATTGCAAATCGTAATCAAAATATTCTTCATAATATACCTATAAATCAAATACTATTCCGTATTAATAGACAAATTTGTGATTCATCTATTCATTATATCACAAGGACATAAAGGTATATTATTTAGAATAAGTTAATTTTTCATGTGTATTACATATGATTACCATTGATATATTTATTCTCGTCAGAGACTGGTGATTAGAATTTTTATTCTCTTCGGAAAATACTGTTGACAATGAATGTCAATAGTTATTGAACTCAGCCTTGTTATCTATCACAGACATATTTCTATCTATTACACATTGTGCACTGTAAGAAGGTTACGAATATTAATGTATCTGTTCTTTGTCATGACATATTACAATCAACATCTTCTTGCCATTAAAGGATATATACTGATAATATGTCATGACTGAAAAAAAAAAGTACTGCAAATATTTTAACATGTCTATTAAAGAAAGTTTTTATTATATTTAACAGATAATAGATTTAAAATCTAAACAAATTTTAGATAATGTATCAATGTTTATGTTTATTCGTATCTCGTTCTTTTGTGAACAAGATTTCAACATATCGTTCAATACAAACTATGAACGATGGTAAAACAAAGTTGATTGATTCATATTTGATATTTTATCTATTTTGATTATTTTTAATAAATTAGTTCGAAAAGGTTTACAATCTTTAGTTGGTGCTCAATTAGTTTTTGCTCATGGTAATCAACATGGAAGTCATGCTAAATTAACTGATGATATAAAAATCGATTCTACATTAGTTTCACGTACAATAGTTGAAAGTTATGATGAAGCTATTATTCCATTAGGTAGAGAAAAAAAAATTTCTTATCTTCTTTTATTTATTTATCTTATTCAAAAAAAATAAGCATCTGAAATAAAATTACGTGAAAGATATGCTAATTTTGAAAATAAAGTACGATTTGGAAGAATACTTGAAGATCTTGATACAATGGCTGGTATTTATAAAAATATAATATTTTTTTGTTTTATTAATTTTTATTTAATTAATATAGTTCATATTGCATATAAACATAATAGTCCACAATTAATTAAATCAATTAATGTTCATCCATTAGCTATTGTTACAGCTGCTGTTGATCGTATAGGTTAGCTAACAGAAAAACAACTCTAATTAATAAATATTCTTTTCTTTTTGTAGAAGTTGCTATACCTCATATGCAAATGGATCGAGATATTCGTTTAAGTGGTTTTACTTCTTTTGTTGGTAAATCTTCTATGGAAGTTACATTAAAAATTGATCAAGTAAATATTCTTGTATAAAACAAAATTATTATTTATTATTATACATATGTAGGATAATAATGGTACTTGGGAACATGTACTTCATGCTTTGTTTGTTCTTGCTGCACGAGATCCAAGAACAAAAAAGTAAATTATATATATATATACTCTTATATTTACCTTAAATTTATTTTTCTTATTAAATTAAAAAAAATAAACAAGATCAGCCAAAATGAATCCATTAGTAGGATCAACTGAAAAAGATAATGCAATTATCAAACAGGGACAATGTAAATAAATGTAAATATTATTTTATTTTTATTAATTATAGAATATTTAATAGTAAATCGTCAACGTCGTCTAGCTGAACAAGATAAATCATTATTTAAAATTCCACCTGATACAGCTGAAAGTACAATTATTCATAATCTATTTCTCAAAACAATTACACCAAGGTAAAAATATCTCATTATAACTTATTCTGAATAAGAATATTATCTAATGCAATCATCTTTAAAATAATTGTGTAATTTAATATTCGGCTTAATAATGAGTCTTCATTTATACTATCGCTGATAAAATATAATAAGCACGGATAGTTAAGGTGTCTTTGGAAAGCCAAACTTTTCCATTAGATTTTGTTTAATGATATGACCGTCCGATAGATGACATTGTTCTTTTTTTGATCTATGCAAAGCCGATGGCTCTAGTTTATTCCTTTCAGTGATTGTAAGGATTTCCGAAGACTTCTGATTTCAACTTATTGACTTTGAATTACTCCGAAAAGGTAAAAGTAATTTTTCTACTGTACTGTGTGAAGTATCAAGACTTCGAAAACGTACATAGAGTGATTTTTAGATTGCTTTTAAAAGCTACAAAATGATGGTATCTTCGATCAAAATCTAATGGAATAATTTTCTATACGAGAATTCGAGTTTCTAAAAATACTTAATGATTCTAACATTGTTATACTAGATTTTGACAAGGTTAGTAGATAGAATTTTTTATATTTTAGTACATCGATATTTCGTGCTCGACTTTTAGTAGAAAACTCCATGTGGATAGAAGAAACAATTTTACGAAATATGCATATTTGTCATCCAGAAGTAAGTGTTTCTATAAGATTCTTTTATTTATTATTATTACTTTATTAAGCAACGTAATTTATATAATAAAATTTTTGGTGGTTATTTAATGAGAAAATCGTTTGAATTAGCTTGGACAGCAGCTAGTTTATTTGCGTAAGTTTAATATTTCTTTTATTATTATTTTTTTCTTTGTTTTGTTTAGAAAACAATCATTAAGTACACTTGCAGTTGATGATATTATGTTTCAACGTCCAGTAGAAATTGGATCACTTTTATTTCTTTCGGCAATGGTTGTTTATGTTGAAGATAATAAAATTCAAACACGTGTACATGCTGAAGTTGTTGATATTCATACAACAAATCGTGCAACAACAAATGTTTTTTATTTTATTTTCAAAACAAAAGATAATAAACAACCACTTGGAAATGTTGTACCAAAAACTTATGCTGGTAAATAAAAGAGAAACTATTTCATTCTTTTTTTTGTTTTAATTTTTTAGAAGCAATGATGTATTTGGATGGAAAACGACATCTTCATTAATTACAATTATCAAATTTAGCAATATATTTGTTTTTTTTTTGTATATATAAAAGCAACCGCTTTCTTTTTTAAACTTTATCTATCGTCTTAATAAATAATAGACTTTTGTAAGAAAAGAATATATCATGTAGTTTTTATTGAAAAACAAATTTCAAGAAAGTAAACGGTATAGTAAAAATGATCTATCGTTTTTAAGATAAATTTTTACCATATTAGGTAGACCCTATTGAGGCTAAAAAAAGTCGAAAAGAAGTTATGAATAACTCTTTGGTTACAGGACCCATATATATATATATAAATTCGGGCAAACCTTATATGCATATAATTACTTATAAAATCTTCTCTCTTTCTTCGGTCATACCATATTCTCTCTTTCCTTTATGCTTTTAGTATCACACTATGATACTAATATAAATGTATGTCAAATGGAGAACAAAGAACTATAGTTTTGGAGGTCTATGAGTCTAGAACAATGGTCGTTCTAGACAATTGGAATTACTGCTGAAGTTCTGATCTTAAAAAAGATCAGACATTTAATTTTATTGGATCTATATTATCATTTGAAATAATCATCGAGCTACATAAAGAGTTTTTCAACAACTCCAAAAGAACTGAATTTTATAGTTTTGGTCGAAGTCTAACACAATTTGCTGCTTTTCTTTTGACATATATTACTCGATTTCTTGTTCCTATAAGCAAACTCCATATTTTTTTGTCATCATTGCAAAAACCCTGTAACCAACGGGTAAGACATATGTGGAACCAAATTTATTTTGGTCTCATTCCAGTACTACTTGCTTTTTCTTAATGATCACACCGTTCTCTAAACATGATGAAGCAATATCTAATGAGTAAATGCAATCAGATGACGACAAAGACATATATTAGTGTTCATAATAATTGAAACTCTTTTTTTAATAGAACTATATATATGATTGCGACATTTTGTTTGTTTTTTTCTGTACTACAAGATATTGACATGAAAATAATAAATTGGTTTATCATAAATAGTGTCAGATTCCGGTCTTAGTAATGATTTGAGTGTTTAATTTTCGGGCCCATACATGTGTCTAGTTATGACTATAATAGTTAGTTTTTCAACAAAAATTCGATACTTGAATTCAAACTTTACATAAATAACCTTCCTAAAAAAAACTATTTCATTGTGAAAGTATGCGTTTTTTTAACTGAAGAAACATCTCTCGATGTGAAATTGCTTTTGTATTACGATGATGTTTATTTGATGATTGCTATTGAGTAATAGAAACTTTTAGAATGGTGTGGTTTTCTGGGCGTTTACTTTTGAGATATCGAAAATTTACTTGACCGTATAGCAAAAAGCTGTACCCTCCCTTTCGGTCAATTTCAAGTTTCGACTTCAAATTTCGCATGAATAAAGTTCTCAATGAGATTGGTATAAAAGCAAGTTTTTCATATGACCTCAATTTTTTGTTGAAGAATCCAGTAAAATTTTGATATCTCAAGAACGCGAAAACCCGAAAAAACCAAACTGTTCTATACTTTTTTGTACTACTCATTAAATGAACATCATCTCGGGTCAAAAATTGATTTTCCACCAAGAAAGATTCCCTTGTCTGAATAGGAATTATTACAAAATCTGATACTTTCATATAATGAACTATTAGTTCGATTAAGAATTTTATTTATAAAAATTGAAATATTCATTAGAATAGTCATAACCCAATCCATAGATATATATCCTTTGATGACATTTTTTCTTTAGTCTCAATGGAACGTACATAATGAGGAAAGGTTAATGGCCAAAGCAATTTATCACTTTGTAAATTTTCCTTGTATGTGACAATAATCGATAGCTGTGAAATCAAAGTGATTATTGAAATGTACAATTATGTATTTCCTTTCCTTTATCATATCAGTAGAATGACAACACCGTTAAAGAAAAATCTTATCAAGACCTATACTAAATAAGCAATGTATAATAACGACACACTTTTAAACCAATATCGCATTAGAGATCAGATATATATATATATAATATTTGTATTATTTTTAATATTTAATTCATAATAAATATGAAGAAAAAAAAAACAATCGAAGGTTGTTTGATATTCATTTTGTTTGATCATTCTGGTGAAAATATAATCAATAACTATAATAAGTGCTATAAATTATGAACACTTGAGTACACAGTATGAAAAATAATCATACTATGAACAGCTGATATATCTATTAATAAAACGCACTTTATGAATATAGAGATAAGAATGCTAAAAAAACAAATTATTTGTCTATCTTATTTCGTCTAAAAAATTTTTGTCTATTATCACTTCGTAAAAAAAACCATACTGAGCAACTGGATCATCCCTTCTTTCTCTCATAATATTAAGATAACGATGTCTCATCAAAGCATCGATATTTAGGAAAAACAATTGTTTAGTGACATCGTCCTTTTTTTTTCTCATCTATCTGCTTGGTTTACACGGTACGAGAACGACGGAAGAGAACTATCTTTCTATTCTGCCTTGTATCACTATAGTATACATACATTTGCACAGTACTGTACATGTCCAAGGACAGCAAACAGGCGCTAGCTTCTTTTTTTTGCCGTTATTTATCTTTTCTCTAGTTTTTTTTATGGCATTACGGATATCGACGGATATTGCTATTCTATACTCAGGCAAAACGAGCGAGCTACAAAAAAAAAACGAGAAAGAGAGAAACGTCGTCGTCGTCGTCGTCCTCAGTCTGGGTGTAGGAAGATACAAATATACACTCGACGTCTGACCCGAACTGAAGAAAATCAAATGAGTAAAGTTTTTATTAGTCGACAAGATGGTAGTGTTTCATGGGGATTTCGACTACAAGGTGGTTCAGAATACAATGAACCATTGGCAGTCACAAATGTAAGTATGTTTTGTTAGCATGCCAAAAAAAAAAAGAAAAGAAAAGGAAATTTACGTGTATGTATTATACCAATGTATTATATCCATAAATCAGAAAAGACAGGAAAACAACTATTAGTTAGCTATAAAGAGAAAACAATAGTTTTTCTTTGTTAAAAAGATTGTTCTCAAAAACAAAAAACTTATGTTTTTATAGGAGAATAATTTTTTTCTGTTGATGAAAAAAATAAATATTTCTCGTGTTAATTATTAGATTGTTCCCGATTCTCCTGCTGATGGTAAACTTGATCCAGGCGATATGTTATTGGAAATAGCTGGTAATAATGTTACGAATATGACTCATCGAGATGCTCTCGAACTTATTCAACGTTGTGCAAATGCTCTTTTTCTCACAGTTCATAAGTATATATCGAACAGTTTTTTTTTTCTTTCATTGTTATTCTATTAGTAAGTTTCTCATTAATTCAGGGTCGGCTATTCATATCCACCAAGCGGAGCTGTACCACGTCCTGCTCCCATAACTCCTATGTGGAGACCAACTGGACAACAACAACAACAACAACAACAGCAACCGCCTTATTATCAACAGAACTTCCAACAACAACAACAACAACAACCTTACTACCAACAACCACAACAGCAACAACCTTATTATCAACAATCACAGCAACAACAACCTTACTACCAACAACCACAGCAGCAGCAACCTTATTACCAACAATCACAACAACCACCTTACTACCAACAACAACAACAACAACCACCTTATTATCACCACCAACAACAACAACAACCGTACTATCAGCATGACTTTCAACAACAGCAGTATGGTTATGGTCAGCCACCAGCACCTGTGTTCAATGCAGCTCCTCCGGCGCCGGCTCCACCACCGCCGCCACCGCCACCACCACCTCCACCACCACCACCAGAAATGCCTGCTGCAAATATCCCACCAGCACCAATATTCGACGCTGATATGATAGCAAATGCAGCATCTTCATTAAAAAGTCGGCCAGCTACTGATGAAACTTCTACATCAACTGAACAAACAACGGTAAATAGAGATTAGATTAAACATTATTAGTTTTTTTAATTCAATAATATCGTTCTTTTTTCGTTTCTCTTAAGGAAGTTCCAAATATTCCTGCTGCTCTTGCTAAAAGTCTAAGTCGTCCTGGTGGTCCGAAACCATTTACGTATACGCCGGGTGGTCTCGATCTTTCAAAAATACGTGAATCAGCTCGTGTTAGACGGTATGATTGCATCATCATAACATATCTTTTATAGTGCCATCAATGATGACAGACTATGGTTGCGTAGTTTTCTTTTAAGATATGTCACTTTCATTCACTTGTCATCATATATACACGTGAAAATGGCAGAGGTCGAAGGCATTTAATAAATATAAAACTTCTTGTAATCTGATAAAAAAAAAGAGAGAGAGCTATCTATATATTCATTGTTATTTTTTTTTATATATGATGGTCCACATTTACATTACACTTTTTTTTTTCTATTACTGTAGTATGAGTCAATAGTGCAGAAGTTACTTTATCTTTCGCCTTTGTATTTTATTTATGATATTGAAAGAATGAGAAAAAAAAAAGAAACAAAATATATATAGTGTTTATGGGAACAAATACTTAAAAACATAATTACTCAACAAAAACAATCCATAGAATATTTTTTTTATATAATTTCATTGTTTTTCTGTCAGAACAACAAAAAAATTAGTGAGTTCATGTTTTTTTTTAAACAATGATTCTTGAAATGTTGAAAAAAAAAAAACTTGTTTGACATATGAAAAAGAAAAAAAAATGTAATAAAAGAACAGAACAAAGTGAAAAACGAGACGATAGAATATAATAGTGAACTTGACCAATTTGAGCTTCTATGAGATTATGATGTTGATGATGACCTTGTTTGCGACAATATAATAGCTTGTCATTTTATTCTACTTATCGACGCTTTTCTTTTTTTGTTTTATATTCTTTTGAATATTTCAGTCATCGTGAATATACATCGAATACTGACGAACCAAACGAAACACAAGAACCTGAAACAAATATGAGTCGTCGAACGATAGTTCCACCTGAAAATATGAATCAACATCAATATGTACCACAAAATCCAGCTCAATCATTTAATTATGCTCGTCAACAAGCACCAGCACCACCACCACCACCACCACCAACAAAAAAACATATACAACATGATACAGATGTGTAAGTATATTTAACATAGAAAATTTTATTCTATTCTTTTTTTGTGTTGTTATTCTTATAGAGTTACACAATCACGTTCATTTCAAATGCTTCAAGGTTGGATTTCTGATAGTGAAAAAACTGTACCAACAGCAGTTGCACCACCATCACAATCGACAACAACAACAACAGCAACAGCAAATAAATCAGCAGGTAGACATTTGATCTTTTCTTCTTTTTGTTATGTTCCTTGAGTATTATACTTTAAATAAGGTCTAATCGCAAATGTATGTCCTTGTCGAATACTAGAGATTGTAATCCATATGTCGAACTATTAAATAATCATTAGAATTGATTTTTGTTTCTATAAATAGAAGAACTATAAAATATTAGTATTTAGATTTATATATATTTCAAATAATAATTTGTTAATTGTAAATGATAAGTTCATTGATTAAGATTTCATTTAGAATATGAATAAAAATTTAGTAGAAACTATCCAATTGGAAATTTCTATACTAGAATTTGATCATTGAATATTTATAAGTTAATTCCTAACATAACTTCAGATAAATAGTTGAGTTTCTGTCATTCGACATATATCTATTGATAAGTCAAGGAGAGAAGTTCCATAACTGATAAATCGCTTTTTAGTTCATCATATAGATTATAATGAGTCATGAATGTGATGAAAACTGTTTCGGCCTTTAGATTATTACGACGATTTGTAAAGAGATAGGTCGTAATGAGAATAGTTTATCGTATAAATTTCGAATCTTTTTTTTTTATTTTCTTGTTTTTTTTTAAATAAGAAAATCAAATCTAAAACCTCGTTAAAATACTTCAAGTCCCAAACTTCAAAGCATTTGCAAGACTTATGAATGTTTTATGTAGATGTTTTCATCGAAAGAGGCGCTGCCCCACGCTATCAAAACACTGAAATTTTCCTCATCAGATGAAAGTATACTAACCCCCCCCCCCCAAAAAATTGAACGCCACCCTATAATAGAAAGGCACCCGGAATAGAAGGCCACCCCGGACCGTTTGATTCTCTGGACATAATATAACGCCATACCAATTTCAAGGAAAAATGCGAAAAAAATTCCGGCAAGACATAATATAACGCCACCAAAAAAAGACCGATTCGCTGGGACATGATAGAAGGCCATGCCTTTTTATTCTGGGGGGGGGGGGGGTATCATTGGTTGGAATATTCACTGACCATATATATAATTTGTTGAACAATAAACAAAACCAATAAAAATTAGTTTGTTTTATTATCATGTCATATCATATCAATCGATCTTAATTAATAACCCGTTCTTTTGTTCTTTGTTGACATGTTCAATTTAGTTTAGTGACCTTATCGACATAGTTGAATGCTATCCGAAGGATATATTGATTGCACTCTGTCATTCATAGTTGTATTCTTTATATTGATTTGGAAAAATTTGTCTTCATTTCCCTCTCATTATCTTTTCTTTTTTTTTTTATCTTCGTTACATAAAACAAAAATAATATTATTCTTATATAGTTGCTCGAGCTGTCCTTGATGAGCAAATGGGTCATAATGATCGTAGCAGAAGTTCTAGTGGTACATCAGGTCTTCCTTCACGATCATTTCGTTATTTACAAGAACAATATAATAACAGTAATGGTGATAATAAAGAAACAACCGTAACAACAATTGAAGATACAACTATATCAGCTGAAGGTCTTGGTCTTCGACGTAGTAGTGATGCTCATGTGCCATCGCGAGCATTTAAAATTTTACAAGATCAATGTGATGCACAAAATACACCTGTTAATCGAACACAAGGAATTAATAATCGTGATGATTTAGTAGAAATTTATAATAAACGTAATAAAATGGATAAATGTTTTTTTTTCTTTTTATTGAGAATAAACATTTAATTTTTGATTTTCTTTTTTTTTTAGCACCACCAAGTTTTCGTGAACGTGAACCTGAAGCTCCACGTTATACAGGTTCAACAGTACCATCACGTTCATTTCGTTTTCTTCAAATGATGACACAAAATGATGACCAAAATAATGCAAAATCAAATGTTGGTTATAATAAACCACAACAATTATTAAATAAATATGATGAACAAAATTTTTCATCAAATATAAATAAACTTGAAACACATCCATCACGTTCATTTAAATATTTACAAGAAATAACATCTGAACGACCACAATCAGCTGGACAAACAACAACAACTGTTACTCAAACAGGTTTTAGAATATTTTCATTTTTGCAATAATTTATTTTCTTTTATAGGCACAAAAATTATTACAACCAATAATAGACAACAACAACCAATAAAAATGAATGTTCAAGTTCAACAATTACAACCGATTATTCAAGTCAATACAACAAGTTCAAGTAGTCAAGGAGATGTTATTGATAAATTATCTGCGGATATAGCAGCAACTGATTTTTAAATAATATTTATTTATTATTAAATTTTTTTTTTCTATCCGGTTTCTTCTTTTTCTTTTTTTTTTTTTTTCTTTGTCCCTTTCAATTTTTAGAGTTTGTTTTTCTTTACGTTTCATATTGCTAACACAAACACATTTATTATTAATTCATATTTGTCATTTTTCAATTTTACTCAGAACACTTTCAATTGTAACTAAAGTGAACAAAAACAAAAAAAAAAAGAGCTAGCAATGAAACTTTCGACAGACATACAATAATTTAGATAAATAAATATTTATGTTGTTCCATATTAAAGCTTTTAACAAGTGTGCATGACATGCATGTAGCTAGATGAAATTGATTTAATCTTGTCTATATAAAGAATCTGCTAAAGTTTCATTGAAGCTATGCTTAAAAATCGATTGTGGGTCAGATACATTTAAATCGCATAAATTTTCAGGATTTATTGGAATTGTAGTGGCGAAGCTGTGCGAAATGTTTTAGCTCTGACATTTGTTCTATTGATTTAATTTTCCCTTTTGTTTTTTCATTTGAATGAGTATGCCAAAGTGCAGTAGAGCTTGCCGTGTCGAAAAAAATTTTCGTACCCAGCTTTAGTTTATCAAACTTTTAAGGGACTAGAAATCGGCTAATTGAGATTTTCCGGATCTTGACGAATTGTACTTTAATGTCTTCAATGGAGTTTTTTTAATCGAAATTGGATAGTCGTCCCGAGATGCTTTTTCCGTTTCTTTTTTTTGTATTCAATGACTAGTGCGCCCAACACATGTCTCAGACGGCTGAACCATGGGCGTCGGAGCGTCTTGAACCTAGGTAAGGCTCATAGTGTTTTATTCTTCTCATCCGTCAAACTTTTATTGGAGCATCAAACAAAGCTCTTTTATTCACTTCAGTAAACGAATAAAAATTAGATATGATTAAAAAGTACCAAAGAACAGTTGCCTTTGTTTGTTTATGGATGCAAACGTAGAACAAATACTTCATCTTCTCCTTGTAACTATACGTCAGAAATACATTATTCAAACGAGTTGATGTCATTGTCGATCGGCAACATGTCTTCATGCAGTTCATCACGGAAAATGATCTTTTCGCTGTAGTCGAGATCACAGATGCGATTAAAACAGATGGAAGGACTGATTATACATTTCTGTCTATCTCTGCAAGGACAGAATCGATCACAAGTGCATAAGAGGCATGAAAACTATGTTCTGTCACTGTGTGTCAAGTTCAAAATTGAATGAGGCTGAGCCTCAATGGCTCCGCCACCCTTGGGCTAGACTCTGTCAGATTCGAAAGTGTTAGAATCCGGATCCTACAGGCTTAAAACTATGATGCTCTGCTTTTTTCAAATTCTGTAAGATACGCAATTAGAAAATCATAAATAGTGAAAAAGTAAAAAAGATGATGATGATAACTATCAAAAACTTTTGCAAAAGGTAAAGCACCAAACTCAAAAAAATGATGTCGTTTATGAAAGACTAGATATCGAACTATTTTACTATGGATTTATCTCAATTTCGATTTTTCTGAAAAATATTGAGTTTTTCTTTGAGAGAAGAAAACTTAACAAAAATATTAAACAACAAATAAATATTATGTTTCCATTTGTATGTCTTAGTAATCTTTGCCATATAACAATATTTGATTCTAATTTTATCTTTCAGTAGATTTTTGTTATGACTTTTTAATTATACAACATAAATTATTTGATTAAAATATAAATATTTTGAATGTCTTCGTAAACATATTCACAATCATTTATTATTTGTCTCTTAGAAAATGAACTAGACAACAATGTCCTTGTGAATTATATCAAAATACTTCATTAGAAATATAATCATAAATTCTATTGCATATCTACATACTCATACAAAATGAATCACACTTTATGACGTAAATGTATTATTTATTATAGACATTAAATTGCAACATGAGTTACTAATCACGACACCTTTTGAAAACGTCATTCAAATCACGTCTATCGTTTTTTTTTCCAATTTATGCAAATTAATATTACCTCTGTTTAGTAGGTCAAAGTAAGTTGTTCTTAAAATCTACTCATTTTGATCTGATCTCTTCGGACTTGTCCATCATTTTCAATCTCATCACGTATTTTCGATCAATGACTAATCGAAATATTATCATAGAAACAAAAAAAGAACAGACATGAGAAAATGTAAATATTTGGGCGTGGGCAACACAATAGATTCTATGTATAGCTACATATGAGCAACACAAAAAAAAAATGAATAGACTAACGATGCATCTATAATGCGACATATTTTCATTGTAATATTAAGAGTAGTGGTTAGAAATACACGAGACCGAAACTCAAGTTTATAGAAAAATATCTTATAAATCCGAAAATAATTCAAGAGCGATACACACAAACAAATGCTAATCGTCGACTAAACCAATAAAAACAAAATCAATATTGAAGAATTATTTTTATATATATGATAAGAATAAATTTTGCAATAGTTTTCTCTAGATCGGGATCACTAGAAAAAAAAGTTTAGCGTACATAGACCAAAAAAAAAAAAAAAACTTATTTCTGCATATCTCTATTAGTAATATATAAATAGAATACGTTCTATTAGTATGCACGTCTTATACTTAAAAACGAATCTCCAATTTCATATTCATGTACAAATGTTAAGTATGTTTTATATTTTTTTGCAAATGCAACAAGCCTTTATTCTATATGATACCATTCAGAATAGAAGCATTATGATTTCATATATATATATCTGTCATCTGAAGTACGTGTACATTCAAACTAAATCGATTTTCATTCGTAAAAACAAATTATTCTTAATAATATATCATATCGTTAGTAATGATTGTTATATAAAGTAATCTATCGTGCACGAATGCATATTCAACTTTGTATTGTGTGATGTTAACATGATTTATTCAGGTCTTTTGTTTCCTATACTGTAGTATTTGTGTTATGGTATAATAAAAAAAAAGAAATTCATTTTTTAATTTTCTAAATAACGACATACAATATAGAGCCTATAGGGAAAATGTCAATCGTAGTAATGAAAAGTTTCTATCGACTGAATAAACAATCAAACATTTACTAGTTGATTATTTTGCACGTATTTCTTTTTCTCATTTATTCCATGAGATTTATAATAAAAAAAAAACAACGACACATAATTCTACTAGATTCATTCATCTATATTAATCTTCTATATTCGATAATTAAGCATCTATCAACAAAAACTATTGTCAAATAAATTGCTTTTTCGGATGTATTATTTATATGAAAAACTAAATAAAAATCTTTTCATCAAATATATTCGATTCTTTCCGTAATGTTAATCAATCAAAATCTGACAATAAGAATTCTTCGCTTCTGATTTTAATGGAGATTTGTCGAATATTAGACAAGGCCTTGACGTATAATATAAATATGATAATGATATTTAGATAAGTAAATAACATTCAATAGTGTGTAAATTTTATTTGTTGATAAATAAACTAAAATAATATAAATAGAAAACAAACTTGTGTAAAAAGTCAAAGTCTATATATACAATATAATAATATTAACTGACTAGTAGCGACCTCATCATAGAATTTATTACTTCATGAATTACAATAAATTGCTTTGATTTATTTTCTCTTTCATAGAAAAATTCAAGAAGATAAATATGTTTATCATATAATTTTATCTTGGTACCATCTATAAATAATAATTGGTTTATTACCGCCATAGATCTAGTCTACAAGGACTCGTTCGTTTCATTAATATCCGTTTTTGGAATGTTGCACATGGCCGGTTTTTTTCTAGTTGTTATAACATATGCACGTACATGAAATTTTCTTATCTTCGACCACTTTTCTTCTTCGATTTTTATCATATTAATTCAAAAATAGGATGTATTTATCAATGAAAAGAAAACTGAGAAGAGTTTCTTTCCAATAGATATAATAATGATGATGAGCTCGATTCACCATGCATTCGAGAAGAAAAAAATGTATCCAACCGGAAATGAGCCGTATCGTGGGGTACTCGTCATACAGCACATACCAATTTCCTGTATGCAGAGGTCTCTTTTACATTCCATAGAGTTTTTTTTTTTCTTTTTGTTGTGTTTCATCTCGGTTTTTTTTTCTTAGTATGTTCACTATCAATAATAATCATCATTTGTGCTGTCATTCGCTTGTTTGTTCGTCTTCTCAAGTAGTCGAATGACAATGATGCGATAAGCGATTTTCATCTTGTTGAAGAGAACGAGGGAAAGCAAGAGAAGATGTTGGGTTGTATATGTTTGTGATGCCGCTAATAAAGAGTTAGACATCCCAGTCCGAGAGCAAAAACAAACGCTAGTTTGAGAGTATAAGATAGAAGAAGAAGAAGAAAAAACTAAAACGAGAAAATAAAAGCAAGAAGGAGGAGAAGAGAAAAATCGAGTTCCGTTATTATTGCTTCGAACACGTCGTCAAAAGAGAAAAACCAGTAGCATTGGTAATGTAGTCGAACGATAGAAAAATGTGCCGTAGATAGGAAGAGCAAAATGGTTCGGTCGCGTGAAGAAGAAAGAATATGTCGACAACGAGAAAAACAACAATAACAACCATCAGCGTTAACCTAGGAAATCGAGAAAGGGAACAAGAAATTACAGGAAGGATTAGTAACCAAGTCACGATTTGTCTTTTGTCGAATAAAGAATACTGACTGATTGTACAAGATGCTTGGATAATCCCCTGGGTAAGGTCGCAATGGCTGTTTTTCATTGAAGTTTTGATCTCTATAGTCATCAGGGGAATATATGAACGCAATTTTTTTTTCTATTATGTTTGTTTAGGAAAAATAAATAAATTTTATATGCAAATATCAGGAAGTTTTCCTTTTTTTTATCGAAAATTTTGTGTATTGCTTCATTAGGCACGTTCTCATATACATGAGTTATTTTCTAGTTGATTTACCGATAATATCGTCATTTTTCTAACTCATTTTCTTAGTAATTAAAAGCACGTTTGCACTAGTTGTCACAAAAACATAGATGATTCGATAAAAATCGATTTTTTTGTTTTTCTTTTTGCTCGTTTTTTTTTTGACAAACCAATTTAATAAGTCTTTGTAATCACTGCGTAAGGATTTTGTTGTATGTTTATTTTTGTAATTGTACTTGTAAATACATTTATATAACTAGTATTGATGATGATGACAAAGTGAGACATGTATTAATAAGATAGAAAAAAAAAGTAATATTGAAAAAAAAAAACCGACAGAAAGAGAATAATAATTTTTATTTCCCTTGTCGGCTTCTCTATGAAGAAAGAGAGAAGGAAGAATAGGAGTAGTCGAAAATAATAACATGCCATTAATAGTTATTATCTGAATAGTCTTCGTTGTTGTTGATGATAGTTGTTTTTCTTCTTCTTCTTCTTCTTCTTCTTCGTCTTCTTTTTTGTTTCTTATCCATACAGTAAAAAAAACACAAGCTAATTGTATATTTTTCTTCAACACCTGCACTCTACTAGTGATCAGTTTTTTTTAGTATGTTTTTGTTATATTTCGATTTTTATTTATTATTATTGTTTATTTCTGTTTTCTAGATAGAAAATTGGTGTGGACAATTGTTAAGTTAGACTATCTGATTAGGTGATTATTCAGATGTCGTTCTCTGCTTTCTCTGTTTATAGTTTTGCGTATATATACATATATATACACATTGCCGAATAGTCTGATTTTTCTAGTATTGCTTCTACAATTGCTGCTGTTGTTGCTGCTGTTTTTACTATTCTTGTTATCAATGCACATAGTTTTCTATATATATTTTTTTCTTTTTCTTTTCTTCTTCTTTCTTTACTAGACTAACTAACCGCATAATATAATATGTAGAAAACGAAGAAATTATGTTATGGAATAATCAAGCAACAAATAAGACTAGTAAGTTCTCATTGATAAACAAAGAAAAAAAAAAGAAAGAAAGATTAACCAATCTATAACATGACATATGTCATATGCAGATGAATATTTCATTTTTTTTTGTTTCTTGATATTCGACGGATTTTCTATGTAGATTTACGTATTAAATCGTTTACGAATATATTTAGTGTCAGAAAAAAGGTCAAACAATTCTATTCTATGATTCCATATGGGAGTCATCGATCGTTATATTCTCTACCTTTTCTCTCTTTTGTTTGTTATCGAGAGATTTCTTGGAAAGAGAATATACGATTCAGTATTATCATGAGATATACGTTATCAGTTAGTTTCTTCCTTTTTTTTTTAAGATCTATCTGTCGTTGTATATTGAATAAATGAATAAATCATGAGTTTGATTTTATCGTTTCTTCAACGACAGAATAAATTGTTAAAAATCGATTTACATCAATAGATATTATCTTCATAAACGAATAAATACAAATGGCTAAAAAGAAGAAACCTACTCATGGCCCTAATGATATTTCTCCTGAAGAAGCTCGTCAAGAATTTGGCATTACATATGATGATTTAGAAAAATTAATGCAAACACGAGGCCATGAAGGTATTTTAAAACTTAATGAATCTTATGGTGGCCTTAGTGGTCTAGGACAAAAGCTTAAAACAAATTTAATTAGTGGTAAAATTTTGTCAAAAGAAAAAAACAAAAAATTGAAAATTTTCTTTTAAGGTTTATCCGAAGACGAAACTGATTTATCCTTACGTGTAGCGGCATTTGGTCGTAATGAAATTCCACCCAAACCACCTAAAACATTTTTTCGTCTTATGGTTGATGCTCTTCAAGATATTACACTTGTTATTCTTATAATATGTGCTGTAATTTCATTTTGTCTATCATTTTATCATCCAACTGATGAATCATTTCAAGCTGAATTAAAGCAAAGTAAAAATCAATATTTTTTTTGTTTCTTCTTTACTTTTCTAAATAATTTTCTTTTATAGAAGAAGCAAATGTTGAATGGATTGAAGGTGCAGCAATTATTATTGCTGTTATTGTTGTTGTTCTTGTAACAGCATTTAATGATTGGACAAAAGAACGACAATTTCGTGGGCTTCAATCAAAAATCGAAAGTGATCAAAAATTTAATGTTGTTAGAAATAATATTGTTAAACAAATTCCAATAAAAGATATTGTTGTTGGAGATATATGTCAAGTTAAATATGGAGATTTATTACCAGCTGATGGTGTTGTTGTACAATCAAATGATGTTAAAGTTGATGAATCATCATTAACTGGTGAATCAGATTTAATAAAAAAACATGAATCAAAAGATCCATTTCTTTTGTCTGGTAATTAAAAAAAACAAACTTATTTTCTGAATTAATTTCTATTGTTTGAACTTAGTAAAAGTCTACAAAAAGAGTTTGTTCATATGTCGAATTATGATGATACGTTTTTTTTCTTTTCTAAATTTTCAACTTAGCTTTAGATATTATACAGAAGTAATGAAATATCACCCATAGATAGGCTTAATGACCTTTAGAATATCTGGAAAGTTTCAGTCGGAAAGAATGTGTTTTTTTTGTCTGGTCGAGATATTGAATTCTCAATTAAACTCGTTTTTCTGTCGCAAGTGAATATTTTTTTTTGGAAACTCGATATCTAAATAGAAGAGCATTCTTGTCGACGGAAACTTCTAGAATATTTTACAAGTCATTTGATATATCTATGAGTTTAATTTGCATATTAAAATTATGTTTTTTTGATTTTCCGGTATGTAAGATAGAGGCAAACAAGTTAAGTAATGAAGTTCTTTTGTATTTTTTTTTTCTTAACGGTTATTAGATAGAACAAATTTGGGATCAGACTTAATTAGCTGAAACAATTTCCTATCACGAAAGGTACTTATCATATGCTTATTAATAAATTTCGATGAAAAATCTCTAAAAAAAGTAAGATTTCTCGAAAGTAATTTTTTGGATGCTATCAAAAACGTTTCTAAGCAATATAAAATATCCACGACGAACGATCATTATTGTGTAATAGATCTAAACGACTGTTTTCTGTTGTTTTGATGAGAATTTAGTGTATTTTGAAACTTTGCGACCTTTCGTAGAATGAATGCAGTTCGTTGAAAGTAGCTCGTGAACATGTTATTCGAATCTAGAAAAATGATTCTTAGAGGATGCGAACTTACCAAAGATGTTACTTTATTTCTAAACATTCTACAAAGACTTTACCTAAAGCTAAGTCTAAAATTTCGTAAAACGAAATATAACTGAACATAAGAGAACAAATCCTTTAAAACTTTTTCTCATCTCATAAAGTCGTCCTAGTATAAGCTCAAACGATTGGTTGATTCAATTCGTTGGATATTTTTTATTATTATGCAAAATCATTCTTTCTTTTATTTTGTTTTCAAGGCACACATATTATGGAAGGTAGTGGGAAAATGTTAGTATTAGCTGTTGGTGAACATAGTCAAACAGGAATGATATTTAAATTATTGGGTGCAACAAGAGAAGATGATGAAGAAAAAAAACCAGTTAAAAAACAAAAAGAAAGTATGTTGCAATACATATTTATCAACAAAAAGAATATTATGCTGTTGTTGTTTGTTGTGAACCTTTTCTTTTTTTATTTAACCTATGTTTACCCTTGATTTTTTTCCTCATGCTTATTCAGATGCGAATGGTCGTGTTGATGTTGATGTTAATGAACGTTTGGTAACACCAGGATCGACTACAGGTTTTTGTCATTCGTTTGTATTTTTTGTTTTTTTCGAATAGATATTTTATCTAATGATTATGATTTATTATAATAACATATTTTTTCTTTCGATTATTAATTAGGTCCAAATGAAAATAATCATGATGCAACAGAATTACAAGAAGTTGCAATTGGCCCTCATGAAAAAGAAACAGCTGGTGATGAAGATACAGGAGGATTTAAAGTTAAAGAACGATCAATTTTACAAGCAAAATTAACTAAATTAGCTATTCAAATTGGATATGCAGGTTAGATAATGAAAGAATTTTATAAAATAGATTATTTAATATATATATATATTAATCGATGACTATTGAAGATTTTATTTTATTTTTTTGATATCGACTTTAAACAAAAGGTTATCTTGTTATTTTTAACATGAGTCTTTAAAACAATATATATATTAAACTTTAGGAATAATTTTATCTTCGTAGAAATAATCGCCATAGTGAAATTTACATTATTATATTTAGAAATTTATAAATAGAACTGATGATATATTCATACGCAAATTAATAGAAAAAAAAAAAAAGTCAGCGTAGAAGTACTAATATAATTTTTTTTCTCTATCGAATTAATTCTTTATCCTCTGACACTAATCTAATAAAGTTGATGTTTAGTCAACCATGGGAATAACTTATGCCAGTGGCTGATTAAGACATTGATATGGGCGAAGTCATTTACTCGTGGAAATGCAGAATAGATCCGTAAATGATATGAGATTTAAATTTATTGTTAATTTAATTTGCTTTTTTTTTTTTGTTTCATAATTATGTTGTTATTATATGTATAATTGGAAATCTATGAATTATTTTTTTGAGAAATGAGTCATTTAGAAAAAAAAAATCATATATGATTAGACATTTGTAAAAGACGTTTGGCTATTTTTAGATTGAAATCAGATATATGATTTCCAGGATGGTGTTGGAATCATTAGTCTTGATTTTTTTTTTCTTAATTAGAAATCATTAGTTCTGATAGTGATATCGAAATGACGCATTTCTTTTATGAATATCTTGTCTAGAAGAAAGGTCATTATAGAAACTACAGATTTCTATTGTTTATCGTAGTGTTCTATCGAAATTTTCTCTTGCAGAGAAGCGAACATCTATTTTTGGAAGCATAAACACAATATTAACCACAAACATCAGGAGGGAAGCTGCCCATTCAACTTCCACACTGATTTCGAAAAAAAAAATCATTGATTTATCAATAAGAATTTTATTTATAAATAATCATGAAATATCTGTTGACTGATTATTAGATTTTAACATAAACATTGTCTAATTGATCAGTTTATATCGAAAAAAAAAATTTTGTTTCATGTTAATTACTTTGAATGAGTCAAAAATGACTCAAATTATTATGAGGAATGCTACGTTGTTTATTGAAGGCTTCAGATAACATTCGAGGGCGATGGGCTATCGAGATTAATTATTTCTTTTAGATTTATTAGATAATTTCTTCTATAAATGAATCGAAAATTACCTAATACGAGTGTAGAGCAATTCGGTTTGTCCAAACGTAACGCTGTTACGTTTTTGACACACTGTTCTTCAATTAACTCGGAAGATTTAACAGCTGAAAAGTTCATTCAAACGCCATTCGACACAGCTTATCAAACTCTATTTATGCTATAAGAACGACCTTTTTCAGCTGAAGTCTCGAACGTCTAGAAAGGTTTTATTATCGCGTAACGCTGTTACATAAAAAGACCGTTTTTTTCCAGTACCGCCGAAAAAACTCTAATTTCTAGCGAAACTATTTCTCCAAATGAAAACTTTCCAGAGTCAGTTTTGTACAGCATCGAACAAGCTTTTAGGCAGTAAAAAAGATTTTTCCTAAAGCATTTTTGCTCAGATGAAAAATGCAAAATACAAACGTAACGCTGTTACACAGTTTTTTGTGGACTAGTTTTGAGGGACTTAACATGTTCAGAATGGTTTGATTTTTACAAATGTTACTCATTTCCGTGTAGATAATCTTCTACATAAGAATGAGATTGATACATCGATCCGAGACCTCATAAACTGAATAGTAAGTTGGAAACTGTGTAAGAGTCTGCAATTTGTCTTTACTTACGAAAGTCAAAACTAAATAGGCCATTTTATAGAGAATTAAATTCTGCATCGAATGGTATGTCTCTCAATATTTTTTCAAAAATTGTTTTGGTTAAAAAATTCAAAATATGATTTTTCATAAGTTTAAAACCCGGTTTTCGATTCTAAAACCTAATCTTTTTACAAAATAAATGTCAAATTCGTAATCAGCGTTAAAAACTGCATCTATTAACTCATTCAGATTTGTCCAACTCGAAAAAAAAATTTTTTCGAAACTTGATCAGTGAAGTGTCGCGTTTTCGTGGACAAGCCGAATTACACTATCGAATTAACTTGATTCATCAAATATTTTTTTCTTTTATTGAATTAGATTGTATTTTATATATTCAGGAATGTCCTGAGGTCTTCAGGTTTGGGCGGAGAAGGGACGGAGTTCATTCTTTGTATATTCTATAATTATTTGCTTATTGAATTATATAAAAAAAAAAAAAAAAAATTTATTTCAGGCATGACAATTGCTATTTTAACTGTTATTGTTCTACTCGTACGATTTTCATTTGAAGAATTTATTCAAAGGTATAGAAAACAAAAACTTTATTTTTTTTTTGAATTTTTTTTTTTTGAATATTCTAGACATGAACGTTGGAGTAATAAGTATTTTAGTCGATTTGTACGTTATTTAATAACAGGTATAACTGTGTTAGTTGTTGCTGTACCTGAAGGTTTACCATTAGCTGTAACAATATCATTAGCTTATGCTGTTAAAGTTAGTTAATTAATTTAAATAAAATGAAAAAGAAAACATATTTTATTAATAAAAATGAATATTTTTCATTTTTATTTAGAAAATGATGATAGATAATAATTTAGTTCGTCATTTGGATGCATGTGAAACAATGGGTAATGCAACAGCTATTTGTTCAGATAAAACTGGAACATTAACAACAAATCGTATGACTGTTGTACAAGTTTATGTTGGTGAAAAACATTGGAAAAATGTTGAAAATCCAATACGAGTTAAAGAAATTTCTATACCAGATAAAACAAAAGAGATTATTCTTGAAGGTATATCTGTCAATAGTAGTTATGCATCAAAATTATTTGTAAGTTATTTATTTCATTTTTTGAAAATTTTCAAACAAATAATTTTCGTTTTTTTTTTTTTAATAAAGGCTCCACCAGAAAAAGAAACATTACCAAGACAAGTTGGTAATAAAACTGAATGTGGTTTATTAGGTTTTGTTGTTGGTCTTAATGGTAATTATAATGATATACGTACACGTTATCCAGAAGAAAAATTTGTACATGTTTATACATTTAATTCTGTAAGAAAAAATATGTCAACTGTTATACAACGACCTGATTCAACAATACGTATGTATACAAAAGGTGCATCAGAAATTGTTTTAAAAAAATGTAAAACAATATTAAATCGTAATGGAGAAATTGTACCATTTTCAACTGTTGATTTTGATCGTCTTGTACAAACAGTTATTGAACCAATGGCATGTGATGGTTTACGTACAATATGTGTTGCATATAGAGATTTTTCACCAGATAAATTACCTGATTGGGATGATGAAGCTAGTGTTGTTGATCAATTAACATGTGTTTGTATTTGTGGTATTGAAGATCCAGTACGACCTGAAGTACCTGAAGCTATAGCTAAATGTCGTAATGCTGGTATAACTGTACGAATGGTTACAGGTGATAATGTTAATACAGCTCGATCAATTGCACTCAAATGTGGTATTATATCACCAAATGATAGTTTTTTAGTACTTGAAGGAAAAGAATTTAATCGACGTATAAGATCAAAACCAGAAGGACCAGTAAAAAAACACACTTATTTTTTTAAGTAAGAATTGTTATTGTGTTTTTCTTTTTGTGTACATAGGTTGAACAAAGTTTATTTGATAAAGTTTGGCCATCATTACGTGTATTAGCACGTTCATCACCACAAGATAAATATGTACTTGTTAAAGGTATAATTGCATCGAAAAGAAATGCAACACGTGAAGTTGTTGCTGTTACGGGTGATGGAACAAATGATGGACCTGCATTGAAAAAAGCTGATGTCGGTTTTGCTATGGTTAGTTTTCGTTTTATTTAACTTAATATAAATAATATTTTCAATGAATTTATTTCATTATGAAAGTATCTAATCCTTTTCACAATTCGATTTTTATCTATAAGCCCGCTCCCCCTCCTCAAAAAAGTCAATTTTCTTCAGAAAATCGAAAATTGAGATTTCTCCTTTAGGAACGTTTAAATGGGCTGAAATTTGGAGGATATGTTGGGGCTATAGTGGAGAGTCTATGATAAAATTTTCAGCTCCAAATCTGCAGGTTTAAGGGAGAAATGGACCAAACAATGGTTAACAATAGCTGATTTTTGCATCCCAAAATTTTCGGTCCTGGTTCATCCAACATATTAATAATTGTTTTTTGTTGGAAAGAGCATCTCAAGACGCAGGGCATGACATTGCCATTTTTTTAAAATTAGGCCTTTGTTTGGTCAATATATAGGCAGTTATATGATTTGGTTACCATTTTTTGACACTTTTTTGAGTCATTGAACTCGTGATCTGTTGTTTGCGCTTAAAAATGGACTATTTCAAANCAAAAATTATTTTTTCTGCTAGTGTCTATCCCCATAAGGAGGCGGGCCCCCCCCCCCCCCCCTCAGAAAATTCCTGGGTACGCCCCTGTATACAGAATGCATTTTTTTGAAGTCTTCATATCTCGAAGAGACTTCGTCGGAAAATTCTGAATTTTCTTTTTTGTAAGCTAGTCTAGTTGAGGACTTTATGTGGACAAAGTTTTATGTCAAAATTCGAAAATATGGTTGCACTGGAAAAGTACGGTCCTACGGAAAAAATTCATTAAAACATCGATATCCCACTAGGAACAAGCCATGGATACGAACATTTTTTTACCATAGACACACAGCTCACTAAGGGCTACAAGATGCGCGAAACCCCGACTGAAAAGCGTTCCGACACTTGGGAATATTTCCTTGTCAGTGTTTTGTGATAGTACTAAATATTCTATCAATATTACAAGTGGAGATTATGTAAAGTTTAATCTCTTTATCCTTCAACTAAAATATTTTACTAATAAGAATTACTTATAAGACATTAGTTACAACTTATAAGCACTTGAATTTTTAGTTATACATACTATTAAACGATTATTTTATTTTCATTTTTTATTTATAGACAATCATCATCATCTTCACGTAAAAGAAAACGTCATTCTCGATCTCGATCACCACAACATCGTCGTCGTAGTCCATCACCACCACGCCATCATCGACGTCGTTTATCTTCATCTCCTCGTCATCGTCATCATCATCAACGTCGGAGTCCATCACCACCACGTCGTCCTGCTTCATCACGTCGTGAACGTACTCCACCACGTTCAACAAAACCTCAGGAAAAACAACCCAAAGAAGAACGAGATCGTCGTATACGTGAAATGCTTGTTGATGGAGCTGTACGAAATGAACAACGTCAACAAAATGTTCGTTCATATAAAGAACGTGATGAACGAGAAGAAAAAGTTAATGAATTAATTAAACAACGAATAAAGAAAAAAAATGATTCATCATCATCTGACGATGAAGAAGCAGACTTTATTCGACCTATGATGAAACAAGTTATTGATGATCCAAGTTTAAAGCGAAGAGATCTTAAACATCATCATAATAAACGACGATAAATATTTTTATTCCTTTTTGTTTATTTTGTTGTGTATGTCTACAATTCATCACGCTTTATTTGTTTGTATGAAAACAACAATATAACATTCATATATATATATATAATCAGTGAATATATACTACTTACAAGGGAACCTTTGCAAGTGTCAAATTGCTTTTGATCGAGACCAGGTAATAAAAATATTTTGAAACATCGAAATCTCATTAATTGCCGAACTGGATATCTGACCTGCTGGCAGAACACTAATCCTGAGATATAAAATATTCGAAATTCTCTTATGTGTAATAGCGAATTTCGAAGTCGAGACTCAACAATAGATTTTTCACATAACCTTAGACAGACCACAATTTTTTGATAAAAAGAAAAAAACACTAAAAGTTCGATATTTCAAGAATAAAGATCCGAAAAAATAAATCATTCTAAACTTCTCTATTACTCACAAAATAAACATCGTCTCAATATTGTATAAAAGAATTAAAAAAAAGCTTTCTATGTATGTGCCAATAGTAAAAATATTTTTTTTGAATTTCATCATTCTACAAATAGATATCATAATAATAAAAAATTGATACAAGCTGTTTGCTATGATTTATAAAGAAAATGAAGATGCAAGGAATTGTATATTATTGGTTTTTCTAATATATTTTTTTGAATCAATTTTCTAATGCAAGGTCAAAAAAATTGCGTTTTATCAAAGAAAAATAGAAACACTATGAACATCTCATGGAGTTGGTTTTATTATCATAAAGGTCGATTGAAACAAAAAAAAAAAACGAATTGTAATAAACAATTCGATGCGTCATCATCTCCTCTTTCTAAAGGTAGAAGCCGTGATTCTCTAGTTCGGTTCTATCGAAAGTTATTCAAAATACCTAAATATTATTGTGACATATCATAACAAACAGTTCTTATCAAGATTTTATTATTTGAAGTATGATGAAATTCAAAACAATATTTTTACTATCAACATATATAGAGAGAAAATTTCCTTAACCTTTCTAGGTGATATGGAAGTGCCTTCATCGTTACTTTTGTTATGTCTTAAGTTTATAGAAGTTTGATCTCATATATTTAAATAGAACTTAAAATCAATATCAATTGAAATCTCTTGATATTCCGTCAATTCACTAAGTATCTAAATCACTTGTGATGTTTTAATTGAGTACAAAACTTTTTCGTCTAGTTATTTTCTTATATTTACTCAAGAAGAAATGCTTCATATACAAAAATAAGTCAGATATAAACTGTTCTCTTTCTTTACTATCCTTCTTTTTTTTTTTTTTGGTTTTTTCTTTATGTTTTTTTTTTGCTATGCAGTCTATTCTATTCTGTCGTTGGACTACCTTAAATATAATATAAAGTGAACAGCGAGAATAATGGGACAATTTGATTCACTTATTCTTCATATACACACATTAATTTGAGAAGAGAAAAAAACACGACTATTATTTTCTTCTGCTTTTCTTTTTTTTTCCCTACCCATCGACGACTCAATGACAAACTAGTAGTATATACACAGACAGCACACTAATGAGATATTAATTTTATCCTTCATAAATAAGTGCTTGAGCGAACAAAACAATACTTGAAAAAATAAGCGTACAATATTTTTTTGTTTATTGTTATTCGTTTACATCAAACACATAAATTTTAATATTCCATCACAAACAATCGTCACTTAATTGTTTCTTCTTTTACTTCCCTCTCTCAAGTATTTTATCAGGCAATACAACAAATTGTTATTTTTAAATTGACATTAGACGATGATTCAGAAGTGAAACTCATTCGATAATATTCAATAAAAATAAAATTTATAGTCAGTATTAAAATTTTCATAATTTGTTTTATTATAGAACAAACAAAAAAAAATCTATGGCAGATTCTTCCAAAGCTGATTATGTATTCAAAATTGTTTTAACAGGTGATTCAGGTGTTGGAAAATCAAATTTATTATCGCGTTTTACTCGTAATGAATTTTCACTTGAAAGTCGTTCCACAATTGGTGTTGAATTTTCAACAAAAGAAGTTCAAGTTGATGGTAAAACAATAAAAGTTCAAATATGGGATACTGGTAAAATGATTAGTTTTTCTCTCTCTTTTTGATACAAAAAAAAAATAAATTTATAGCTGGTCAAGAACGTTTTATGGCCATTACAAAAGCTTATTATCGTAATGCCTTAGGTACTCTATTAGTTTTTGATATTCTTAAAGCATCAACATTTCAAAATCTTGATCAATGGTAAAAGAAATAAAAAATAAAATTATTTAGAACTTTTTTTTATTTATTTTCATTTTTCAAATAGGTATAATGAAGTACGAGCAAATGCCGGCATTGAATGTTCTATTATGTTAGTTGGGAATAAAATCGATCAACGACATATGCGTGCAGTACTTTCTGAAAATGCTAAACTTTATGCTGAAGAAAGAAATATTCCGTAAGATTAATTCTTTAATATAGATATTTGAAAGAAAATAAAAATTTTATTGTTTCTTTTTTGTTCAAAGTTATATTGAAACATCGGCATTAGACGCAACAAATGTAGAACAAGCTTTTCGTAATCTTATTGCAGATATTTATCGAAATTGGGCATCTCGAATGGATTCATTGAAAGATGATCCACAGGAAGGTCCACGTCCTCTTAGTCAAACAATAAGACCTTATTATCCATCATCAATTCAATCGAAAACTGATAATGCTGCTAAATCATGCTGTGGTAGTCCTTAATAATAATAATAATCTTTTTTTCTTTCATTTATTGTACAATATCTACTTTTATTTTCGTCAAAGAATACACATAAAAGAATTTTTCTGAATAATAACAATATTTTACATCTTACTGATGAATAGTAGGAAAATAAATTTATTGAATTTGAATAAAAATTTTCATCGAAAATTAACATGAACACTTTTAATTAATGCCAAATTGTTAGTATAATTTTTAATTCTAATAAAAATTTTTCGATAATAGAAGAAAAGTTTCTCATACTCGAAATTACCATTTTCATTGTTTGGTATTGAGAACTTCTATGTTTACAGCATATGAGATCTAGTAGTTAGTAATCTATGTATTAATTTTTAAGATAATAATAATATAATGCTATCATATCGTGATTGATTGATTCTAATGCAAACATTCTTAGTGGCAGCTATGAACAGTATTTACTTTGTTGTGTTTAGGATTGTTCTTTCGACATCGATAGTTTGATCTTTTGAGAAAATTTAAATGATATGCAAGATTTCCTTTTAGTGTCTTGACACGAAATTTATTTATTTAGAAGGTCAGATTTTGCATCGACAAGCTGCTATAAATAAAGATGTCTTTATTCGGATCGTTCTCTGAAGAAAAAATAGAAGAAGTTTCTCACGAACAAAAAAAAAAAGAAGTAACTTTTTTCTGATCCATTTATTCATCATCTAAAACTCTGTGCTAAAAAAACAAAGCAAAAAATAACACTACAAGATGCAGCGTGAAAATCTCTGCAATATACAAAGGACAGTTTCTTTCATAATTGCACTTTTTGTTTTCAAGATAGACAAATTTCTGAGTCATTATTTTTTTGATACACAGTGAATTCTTTTTCTTATATCTTCAATTGATAAATCATGTTTTTTAATTTTATTTTATTGTTCGACAGTCGAATATGACTTTCTTTTGTTTTTTTTTAACATAACTCATTAGATGATGAAAAAATGAATCGAAAAAAGGTAACTATGAAATATAGTCGAGAAACTCGTAAAAAAAAGATTCGAGCTTTCAGATATAAATATGTAACTGCCACTAATTAAATTGACTTGATAATATTATGTAAAGCTAATAATTGACTAAAATAAATTACATAGATACAAAAAGAAAAGAATAATTGTTTAGAATTTATAATCAAATCCTTATATTTGTTGTAAACAGAAATAATAATTGCGAATATATAATCAAATGATGCAGAAATCTACTATAATTTACATTTACTTTTTCTCATAAGAATATTTTGACATAATAAGTTTAATAATAAAAATATATTCTTTTTAACGGTATACATATATCAGAATAAACATGTATATTTTGTTTTAAACAAATAAATAATTTTTCAATATGTATGAATAGATCAAATGTAGAAAAGTATAAGTAGTCATTAATATATAGAAAAATAAGAATATCATTTTTGCTGTAATAGGGCAAGTTGAATGTAAATAACGATTTTCTTGTTTGTTTCAGTGTTTCATTCGAAATAGTCAGATTGATTTTGAATTTTGATTTCTTTTCCATGAAACAATAAATCTCAATATTCATTTTAACATGAAATAAATATAACCATGATCTTTTCAAAATAATCACTTTTTTTTTTCTGGAACAACGAGAATATATTGTTAGAGATGATGCATTGCTAAGATGTCCATCATAATCTTTAGAGACGGCCCAAGTTTCTAACCTGATAATTTAGCACTCTTTTTTAACCATGTTTCAAAAATAAATGTCTTGATACGCCTATATGCGTAATAATAAAAGTTTTTTGTTGTATAGAGCAAAAGTAATTTTGATGTGAATGGTAATAAGTTTACAAATTGCTACTATTTCATTACCTTTGATATGCTATCAATGAATATTATTTATGACAACATCATATATTTGAAACATTATCAAAAAGAGTGTGAGTGTGGCTGTGAATGTGGATGAAGAGAATATCAACACTTACACTCTTTCTTTTCAATTGTCTTTTTTCACGACAAAATAAAGCTTGTCACATATTGCATTGTGTGTGCGGTATTAGTACGCAACGTTATTTATTCATATATGCAGTCACATAAGCCTCATCGTCTGATACACCTACTCGACGAACGTAAGGATTATTCAATGCTCAATAAGCCTCATTTTGTTTTTCGTCAAATGGTTGCTTACAGTTTGTTGCTTTGCCTTTCTTGACAATATTGAATGAAATTCTTTTGATTCCACTTATAAGAAATTAATAGCTGATATAAAATTATTGGAATAAGATTAATAGCATATGCATCATTGATTCGTGAAGATGATATTGAAAACCGAACATCCAATTTAAATATTCAATAAATATTTAAAATTTTGATTTTTACATCTAAATCTTTGTGCTAGATGAACACCACCCACATCCTGCAAAAATTAAAGATTAAAAACATCTAAGTGGCCATGATTGTTAATTGTGCGAGTCGATTGATGAAACGTTTGCGGAATATATTCTCGCGCTCTTTTGCACCGCATGCCCACATACCCAACATAGATGTCAAATAATTTCTATCAGCTCTATAGAAGATATTTTTGCGTATATAGTATCAAGGATTTTGTTTCTTCTCCACCATATCTCGTTTATTACAAGGTGACTGCTTGCAGTGTGCATATTTCTCCCTGAATCTTATCTTTAGTGAAGAAATATTCGTATTATTTTAGATTATACATGACATAATGATGCCATCTTTACTTCAATCTTACTACCTTCTGTATGGTTGTTCCGCTGGTTTATCTAGTATATTATATATCCTATTTCCATCTGGAACAGTAAAATATTTTGGTGGTACTCCATGCTCTTCCAATCAATTATGGACACAAGTAGTATCTGCTGGAGACTTACTTATATCTTACTTATGCTATGTCGGTTACAAAAGTTCGAATTCTGAATTACAATTCGTTATTATTAGAGGAATTAGTTTATATAGTTTATTTCATTTTGGCTTATTTTTATATCACCATGTAAGAGTACAGAAGCATCCACATGGTGGTTTACCTCTTTATATTGGTGGTTTGATGTGTGCAATAGGAGCTGTATTTAAATGGGGCAATATTCTCTAAAGTAACATTTAAAAACAGCTATGAGAATCTGCTGCTTATTTGTAAGAGTAGAGATGAACTTGATTGTAGACCAACTGTAATTGGAAAAGATGCTATTTTATTTCAGTATGAACTAGACTTAATTGTCTGCTTTTTAATGAAATGAATTGTAAGTTTAATCAAATTAGAACATCTGATAGCTGTTTTAATAAATCAATAAACGAAGAACGAAACGTAGAAAAAGCAAAGATTAGCCAGTGCTTGAGAGGGTGTGGGTGTGAAGGAAGGAACAACAACATCCACACCCACACCTACACCCACACCCAACTGTCACTTACACCCATACTTCGCAGCGAATTTCAATACTTAGGATTTAGAGAACGATTTTAAAAACAAAAATCTTCATCTATGATTACAATTATTAATGATTGCAATAATTCATTTGTGAGGGTTAATGAGTGAAACATTAGAGAAACTATGTGACTTTCAAGTTTTGGAACTTTCGAAATCAAAGAATATCTTATGATATTTTCAAAGTCTTATTGTTCAGATTGTTTTTCATGTGTCTTATTCTGTTCAAAGTAACTTCGATAGTAAATGTACACGACAAATAATAAACGTGTTCGACAACATTGAACCTTTCTTCTCAATCTTAAGATATGTAAGCAAATTGTGAGATCCTTTGGCAAGTGAACATTTTGGAAGCAGGATGTTTTCATCATAGTTCGTAATTATTAGAAAGTTCCAAAAAAAAAGTGCCTAGAAAAAAACGTAGGCGCATAGGACCACGAATCGGTTCGCGAGACTTTTGTTTCACAATCTAGTCGAATCAGGTATGGGATGAAACTGCTTGTTGACAACGACACTTTGACACCAAATTCAGTTTGTTACTACAGACTAAAACTGACCTTCAGTCATGTGACAAAATGTCATAAATTCAGTATTAGCACATAGCATACACAGACGCTTCCAAAAACATTTTAGTTTTCTACACTCGACGAAGAATTTTTCAAGAGCTACAAAAGATTGTGGATATAGGTGTTCGTCTTCTTTTCACTAAGACTCACATTCCAGTAGTAAATGATTCAAATCGAGAATGCATTGTGAAAAGACATTAGATAAAATAAACAAGTCTATGTGTTTTTTCTAAAATAAATAAAAATAGATAAAAATGTTTGCATGATAGAAAGTGATACAAATATGAATATATTCGAAAGATAAGGGAAAAGAAAGTCAATACGTGATTTGACTAATTCATTGAATTGCTCGCTGTGCCACATATGACCTTATGAATATGTATACAGAATGAAAATTTGAAACATGAATGAGAAAGTGTGGATGTGAATATATCACTTCTCCACCCATACTATGCATCCAGAATTAGCATCAGGTGTTCATTTGAAGCCTTTTTCTCCTGAACTGCAGCAACCAGAACATGAAAGGTCCGTAAAAATATATACAGCATAACATTTCTATCTTGGTGAACATATGACTCACACAAGTCGATAGATATTTGTGGACAAATAGGAGATAGTTATTAGACAACCAAGTCGATTTGGAGTGTGGGTATGTTGTTCTTTTTAGTACTACTCACACCCATCGAAAAAACGCGTTTCCCTATAAGTCGGATGGATATGTGCATGTCAGTGTAAATCTGTTCTCCATCCATACTCATACCCGCAAGAATCAGGTATAAAAATTTGTGTTTTTATTTTTCTGTCAATAAAAGAAAAATCAACATGCTTTTTTTAGAATATTATAAATCATATTACGATGAATTCTTAGTTGTTCGAGTTTATGAAGAAGAAAAATAAAGACGAATAAAATTAATATGTCTTCATCGAATGATTAGATGGAACTAATTTTAGTTCAACATCATTCAAAAGATTGATGATCGCCTTCTTCTTATCATGGTCATCATGTAAATGTTGAAAGTGATGATCAACATGATGCAAATGAATATTCATTAACATTGAAAGAATGAGATTCAGTTTTACTGATGCCGTTTTCAACAGCAAAATCTTTTTTTTAATTTTAAAACGCAAAATAAAACAGTTTCAAATAAAACGAAAGAAACATTAAAATGAATTTTGTATTGTTCATTTTAGAGAACAAAACAAGTGAGATTGCTTTTATTTCTTTTCTTTCCAATTTTATTTATGAAAAAATATAATCCTGGCTTCTATTAATTATCTTTTGTTTATACGAACAACATATAAAAATTCATATATTTTTTTTACTGAAGAAAATGAATCTACTCGTGTTATTCGAATGAAGTTTTAAAGAAATGAATGAAATACTCTTTTTTCTGACGATACGATTGAATCTTTGTTTTTTTATTGAAAGAACGGTGAGACGACATCTAACTGTAAAATGCAAATTTAATCTATTCCTAATTTGAAATCGTTTTGAAAAAAAAAAAGAAAAAACTTTATAACAGGGTCCACAAAGATAAATTTCATTGTTCTGCTATAAATATATATAGATCCTTAGTTTTTAAAATTGTTGAATTCATATAATGTAGTACTTCTCTTTGAAAATTGATTGAAATACTTCTAATATTTTCCTTATAAAAAGCAAACGTCATTCATGTGTCCGACATCGATCACCACTAATGATTTTTTATTACATAAAAAATCATTTCGCTATTTAAATACATGTTATTTATTGTCTCATGAAATCCGACATGTTCACAGATCGACTGCTGGTATGAATCGATGTACGTGCGATAACGTTTTCCTTTTATGCTTGTATATCGATACATAGTTGCACCAGAAAAGCACGACTGCACAGACACTAGACCAGTACTACATGAATATTTTCGAAAAATTGCTGACCATTGATCATTAAACCATACACTCCAATCTTTATTTTGTTCATCTTTGTGCGCATACGGATCGTAATATCTTCTTCGACCCAATATTCGATGATGATTAATGCCATTAGCACATATAGCATCGATAGTTGAATCCTTACCGAAATGAAAACCAGTCGATAGAAGCCCATCAATATACGTATATGTTCGTAGATCGAAATCTTGTACGATTACATAATCAAATTTTGATAGTTGAATATCGTCTTCGATGTATTGCATGTAGATATTTCGTAGTCGAACCATCTTTTTGATGCGTGGTGTATCTGGATGAGCCGTGCTTCGATTGGAAATTTGTAACAGATTGCACGGACGATCATCACTGGCTCGATTACCACATCCGATAATATGAATTCGATTAGCGACTTTTTTATCTTGTGCCCAACGGATTAATTCATATCGAGTTCTATCTTTAGAATCAGACTCCACAATGACAATGGCATAATCAGCAAAGATTGGCGTGATTTCTTCGATTTGTTGTCTCAGACGATGAATATGTTGTTCACGATCATGTATCAATCCACAGATAATGACACGACTGTGCGCTAGATGCGAACGACCGTATTCGAGTTTAATATTATTTTTGTGCGGACATTGAAGAGATTGCGGAAGATGAAGATCGTCGGCAGACGACGATGTTGGATCATCAAAGCCAAGATGAGGAACAATAGAAAATATAAATATACCAATGGCAATCAACAAGAAAGTAACAAACGTCCATCGGCGATAATAATGAGAAAGATAAAATTGGAAGTTAAGTATATTTAATAAGAACCATTTCATTTTTAGAAATTTTTGTGGCTTAAAGCGTATGAACATCTTTGTCTCTAGAATAGCAAGATAATAAGAAAATGTAACACGAAACATCTTGATCGGTTACTTATTGTGAACTTCAAAATAAGAAAGCTCTATCCATATACTCTACATTTTAGACTGCCTAATTGTACAATGAAAAAGGCTTAACTTACGTGATTGAACACAAGTTTTTCATGAGAAAGATAATACAGTACTCATGAGATTTCATAGTGTCTTTTCGGCGTTTCTGTTTAAATCTTCTACTGTGTGACATGATGATTTCCTTTCTGATATAAAGAAAAATTTTCGACGACACAGTTGAGTTTATCTGCATCGTAGTTACGCGTAGCTATGACGTGATTGTTAAAAAAAGAGGCGACATGGATTTGTTTCTGAAAACTTAAATTGGCTTACTGAAATTCTTAAACAATTCATAATTATTATTTTTTCAAGTAGTATCGATCTATTTCGACTCAACTATAATGTGAATTTCAATTAGTGGAAACAGCAGCACGCAAGATTAATACCATTTGACTTGGAATCAATCATTCAGATGATGATAAACAGAAAACAAAAAACAATCTTCGAATTTGATGAAAATCAATTCGATCACAAAGGACATCTGTTCAAAATTCTTTTGATATTTATACCGAAAAAGAGTAAACCATGGACTATGAACTCGTATATGGTTCATGCTGAATTTTATCAATTCTGACGGCCTTAATGTCCTACACTTCAGAAATTAAAAAAAATTGGCAATATTGTTTTCTTTGCAATCGTTGACGCTTTCGTAAATGATGAAAATTTCGTCACTTTTCTCCGAAATCTGTGATCATAACTCTTTCTACATGAAGATATGCTGTAAACATTCTCTTGTTTTCTAAAAGAAATTATTTTACTTTGTGATGAGCTACTCAAGCCTTGCATTGATGACTATGGAAACCGGCAAGATGTTGCAACTTTGCTGAGTTTTACAATAAAAAAATTAAGATTTTGCAGAGAACAATAGTCTTCAAGTGAATTTTCTACGGATTTGTTCTTTTCGGTCGTCATCAGACAATAATCATTAAATGTCAATGATCACAATTCAATATCCAATGTCAATCGATAACCGATAATCCGTCAAAAATTCATTTGAATGCAACTGTTTACTCCAAACTCTCCACTTCTATTATCGATTCACTATATGCACATTGCATGAATCCGTTGAAGCTCTTTTATTGAAAATATTGTGAAGAAAGAAGTTGCTTTTTTTTCATTTTCTTCGCTTTCTCTCATGTGACTCTTACTGATACTTGCTGGGTTTCGTCGTATTGTATGCGACAAACCAAATCACTTATGTACACCGATCAGTTGCAATGTTCTTTATTTATACATTATGAAGATGTAAGATATGAGTGTAAGTGTATGTAAGTGTGAGTCGTCTATTAAGCCTTCTCCTTCAAAAATGATTTTCAATGTAGTAGGCCGCATCACTCTGAAACTTTGCAGAAATGTTAGACTTATAAAAGTAAACTTACAAATATTTGTTTTTATCTCTCTAAACCTCAGCGTTCAGAAGTTTTCTAGAGATCAAGATCCAAAATGAACACTCGGCCTGTACAAATACTTTTTCGCCATATCTCAAGATATAGAATTGGGAATTGTTTTTTTTTTTATGAAAGAAAACTGTTTGCTCTTTCAAATGATGGGAAGGAACATTTTATTGATGTTCTCTAAGTTTTTTGGACGTCGAAGTGTTTAAAATCTTGAAAAACCCTCGGAAGTTTTCCATAGAACTAGAGCCTATTTAACCATTTCCCGGCCCAGCGTACTGAATAAAGGACACTTCTTTTAGTGTCTTAATTTTTGAATAACTCGCGAACGCGATATGATATCGAAGTGCGGCTTTCTCTATGACATAGAAGAGATTTCGGTACATACATATACATAAGACTTATAACCCTAATTAGGTAACTCAGGTAGTAAACTTGATGGATTTTTGGAACGCCACCCCTATTCTAAACAGGAGGAGGGCGGATAATTCTCTTTTGCGATCCTCAAAATGTTTCGATTTTCCATGTTGGAATCAAGTTAGAAGGGACTCCTAATGATATTCCAAAGATTGATTTTGCGACAGCTCTCAATCGAATTTTGACCCACACCCGTATTCCCCCACAGGAAGACCAAAATACTTCTTCACCATCCGCGTGGGGGGAATACAGGCATGGGCCGAAAATGACTTTCAAGATTTTTTTAAAATTTTGATGAAAATATTAATACTGCACTATGAGTGTCTTAAATATGACAACTTATAAAAATTTCTCTCACAGGCAGAGTCATGGTACTTAAAGGGTTAAAGAATTTCTTTCTATCAACCGATAGAACATCAACTGCCACAATAAACGAAATAAAAACAGCTCTGTATCATTGTGCCAATAATAAGGTCACGACCTATGGGCATCTTCTATCGGTTCATTGATGTGAGGGCATTCAGTCACTATGTGGTTAGACCTTTTGATCTCATGACCAATAGTAGCTTCCTACTCACTCTATTCTCTATTTATCTTTTTCTCTCTTCTTCTTATTTCCTCTCTCGTATGTAAGTTTGTGTTCTGTATGAAATGGACAGAACTGGAGTGATCGAGTAGTTTAGTGAACATCGTACATTCAGGTTAGCGATAATACTACTCATCGAGTTTTCAATGTTGATCAACAATAAAATAAATACTGCAGCAGTAATGAAACAATCTCGCCATCATTTTTCGTTACAATCATGAACTATATTTGAAAAAAAAATTGTTCCGAGTTTGATTGTTAGCACAAAAATCGGTTTTCGAGAAATACCCAACAGAAGTTTTTATAAGATTTTCTTTGGTACCATTTTAAATCGAGGTAAAACACAAATGCTATATATATATCAATGGAATGTATTCATTGTGCCACATCGAACATCGCTTCTTGCAACATAAGAAAAGAGAGATAGCGCCACTTAATTATTATTGCCATTGGCCGTATTTTAGGGATCGCGCGTGTAACTTCAATAAAAAATAATTAGTTTTCTTGGGGTGCGGGGTGTGGGTGTTGGTAGGCTTGAGTGAAGGCAACACTTTTATCCACGCCGGAACCCAAACTCAAATACCGCACATATACCTACATTCTCCGCTCACACCTATTATCAGCAGGGCACGTTAAAAAAAGCATTTTCTCAAATATCTGCGGCAAATCTGTACTTCATTAGTGAAAAGGATATTCTCGAAGTTATGTCATGGGCACAACAGTCCCGTTTGGCAATGTTGATCCAGCTAAAGTTCGAGTCTGTCCCAATTGTTGATCAGTAAATGTTGCAGTCAAAAGATTACTGCTCATAATTGTTGCATTGTGTAAGATAGCTCCTGTTAGATCAGTTCCAGAAAACGAACAATTCGCTACACATATAATATTGGACATATCAACATTATTCAAGTTTGCTCTACGAAAGTCGACATTGGTTAGCTGAGCATTGTTCAATTGACAATTGGTCATATTGGCTGCAGTAAAGGAGGATTGATTGATTATTGAATAGATCAAAGAACAATTGAAAAGTAGAGTTTCATAGAAAGAACATTTGTTAAATATTGCTCGAGTTCCATTGAAACTCGTCATGTTGGCATGGTAAAAGACAAAACGTCCATCAGTAAATTGTGCCATATAAAAATTGCTTTCTGCCAATATTGTATGAGCGAAGTTGATCTCATGGCCGAAAATAGTATTGGTCATATTAGCTCCTATCATTCGCGCAAATATAAATTCAACATTGTCAATAAAAGCTTTGTAAAAATTGACATAAGACATATCAGCATCTTTAAAACTGACTGAGATCTTTGCAGTTATCCTTTGATTGGAGCATTCATTCAGAAATCCTATAATGCTTGAAGAAAAGTCAGCGTAATTCAATTTTGCATCGATAAAAGTTGAACCAGTTAGGTGTTTTCGACGAAATAAAGCTCGATTGAGTATAGTACTGTCAAATGCCAGACAACTTGCTAACTGTGATACAAAAGCAGAGTCACTGGTTTCACTCAGATCAATTTCACTTAGATTAGCCGTAGCTAACTGAATGATTGGCGATACCAAAGAAGGTGTTAAATTATCATTGTAGGTAACCAACTTGGCTTCAATAAGTGATCGAATAAGAAATGTACGTCGTGCTGGATTCAATTGTTGCAGAGCGGCCAATGTTTTAAAGCGAGATACAAATCGGGCAGCACTATCATTTAATGTTATACCATACTTGTTTAATAAATCACTTACAAAATTTTGATATTCGATTAAAATATTTTCTCTTTGGTGATCATAGGCAATTAATATATCGTTGAGGCGATTTTCTTGAGCGATATCAAGATCTTTATTGCGCATCTCATTGGCAAGATAAATATCTTGTTGACGATTAGCTTGTGCAATTGATTGATCGCGATTATTTTGTATAATTGTATAGACAGTAATAGCCACTGTTATAGAAAGTTGTGTAAGAAGTTGAGCCCAAACAAAAAATGCACATCCATTTCTCTTATTCGTCTTCTTCTTGTGATGCAATTCAGCATCAGTGGTAGCAATATTATTATTGATCATGTTCTATCTTATATTCGGAGAAAACTATCAGTCGACTATATGTCAGTAGTAAATATATATCTCTAGAATTTCTATTATTGACAAACAAGTCAATATTTATTTTGACGAGTGATGATTAAAAAACCTAGAATGTGTAATTTGAGTTGAAAAGAGAGATCTGATCCATAATAAATAATTGTTTGGATATTTACGTATGTATTCAAAGTTGGTATCAATGTAGACAGTTACAATTAGTTGAAAAACGTGATTTAATAATAACTGAAAAACATGTCGTTTTCAAGAAAAAATGTTACATTTCGATAATGTGAGAGTGGGTATGGATCCGAATGTCGGTAAAAAGAAGGCACATACCCACACCCAGTATTGAATTCAGAAAAGTCTTGTTTTTATTAGAAGGAGGTTTGAAAAAAGCTTTGTCAAATTTGTATGAAAATAAGTAATAAGACAATGCAAATTAATGTTTATTTTGTTTGTTATATAGCTAGATTACAATAAAAGCATCGAAGCAGTAGTTTACAACAAAAAGGGCTAAATACTTATGATTAAGCTTGTGATATATTTTTATGCGATAAGAAACTATGATAAGCATGAAAATTTCTTTCGAAATTCAAAAAAAGCATGTCTCACATGAACAATCAAATCTGTGCAGTCATTTTGTTCATCTGTGGTGCAACTTTTTTGTGATTAACCTGACCAGAATATTTTATCCATCGATACAGACAAATGCTATTCCATACGAGTAATCGTAAGCTAACCGTAAGTCCACCATACAAAGCAAGTAAAGATGTGACTACGTAAAACGCATTATTACGCCGAACATACTCATAGCGACATAGACTTGGTGCACAAGCAGCGAAATAATTTTCATATGAACTGATATTTTGCCAATTTTCAATAAATAGTTCATCAATTAATGTACCAATCAAGGTATTGCGGGGAAAACGTGATGGAATGGAATTGTTGAGTGGAGTAATAACAAAAGAAAGTACTGTTGGTAGAGTGAAATTTGACGGTGGTGATCCGTCGAGTTGTGTATAGTAGTTTAAGTAGCTGAGAATTGTGTTGACACAACTCGATGAGAATAAACATTCGAGTGTTGACATGCGAAGACCATTGATGGGTGAGCAAGCAATAACAAGACCAGGGAGTGTAACATTAGTAGGGCCAATTCGTAAAGGTTCTTGACAAGTTGACGAAATAATGCAATTACATGTACCATTAGTATACATGCGCGGTATAAATTGCAACAGATAGTCATTTGAATCATTTCCATACTTAATAAACCAATCAGTATTAAAGGCCGTTGGAATTATATTACTTTGAATGATTTCCGTCGTAAAACTAACTGTTCGTCGAAAATCCAATGGTACTGAATCAATTAATTGACTGATGATGACTTCAATTTGTGATTTGAAGGAGGCTCGAGATAATAGTAGAGATGTTACCAGTGTTATTTCATTAAACGTAGATAAAGTATTATTGACAGTCGATTGTGATGCTTGACAAAGCATACCCAATATTTGATATTGTTTACTAAGAAAAGGTCGATCAAGTTCCAAATATACTTTGACTTCTGTACCATAACCATATAGTGATGTTGTCCATATTGGAGTGATAAATGCACTCGAACAGACCTTGAAAACAAATAATATCAACATTTGATATAAAAAAATCACAGATAACCAAAATGTTAAAGTATAAATCAATTGTGTAGATTTTGAAAATTTTCTTGTTGATAGTGTTTTTTTTTTTACGAACCAAAAGATACTTTGTTTACTAGTAACTTATTTGAAAGTTCTACATAATTATATTTTACGAAAATTTATGCTTGCTTGTGTAAACGATATTGGTAAACTTAGAAAATTCTAAATAAATTACTGTAATAAATGAGCAATGACGAGCAGAAATCTATGAAATTTTTTCTCTTCTGTATTTTTTATTTTTTGGTATTGTACTTCCTTAATTTATTAGTACCTAATTTAGATCATGAAAAGCATATTGCAAAAAAAAAAATTGATATTTTTTTCAATTTACAAAGTCAAGTGCAGATTTAATACGCAATATTTGATCGTTACTTTCATGTTGATACTGTAGATTCTTCTAGTTCTGATAACTTACAGCTTATATATAAGTAGCATTTTGCCTATACACACATCCGATTACTAGGCTGACAAAGGTTAAACTTTTTAGGCATATAAAAACTTTGAATCCCTCTCATTAGAAATAAAATTATATTTCCTTATGTCTCATACCGACATTCACATGATGATATTGATGATTCTATCTTATACATACAATAGTTTGTCTTTTTTTTTGTTTCTCTTTCTTGTTCAGTCATCTATCCATGCCAATGTGTTTCTCCGAAAAGGCTGTTAGAACAATCTCTGTAGGGCTAATATGTGAAAAATCACAAAAGTACTTTTGTGCATCACAAAGAAATTAGTATCGATTGAATAATTGACGACGGACTTTTTCATCTGTTAGGTTATGTTTGAAAAAATAAGGTTAAGAAAACTTCTGTGTACTTTTTTTTTTTCATGAAAATAATTAGATCTTTCAGTGTAAACAGAATCTATATGTTTTCCGGTAACACATGTGACTGCTATCGATAAATTATTATAAAATGTCTTTTTATTTTCTTCAAAATCATCAAAAATGAATGGTTATTCATATTCTTTATGTCTTACTTGATGATATGAAGCTATCATTGACAGAAAACGTCCATAGGTTATGGCGATTTTTTGACATGGACATGAAATTTCAGTTGAGTATTTCGCATGTAATTGCTCAAAAGTATTAAGCGATGGCGATTGTATAGTAATAACGACTGTTGTCTGACTTAAACGATTGAACAGTGCAAGAATGAGAATGCATGAAATGAATAATATAAGGTAGATACGACTTGAAATAGTAGCCATTGGATGGAATCTCTCCATTTGACTGTTGGAAGATTCTTTCTTGAACAAGTTCATCTTTAATAACCAGTCTTTAACACTGACGAAACCGGCCATCATTACATTTTGAATACCTAAGAATCAACAATAGATGAAAGATCGTAGGTTTTATGTTTGTAAAATGCATAACTATGCAAATACAATTGTTGAATGCATGAATTACACCTTTCGTTTTCGAATAGTTAATAGCATATCGCATTACCTGTATAACGGAACATTATGATTTCTAGTTTTCACAGATATTCGAGATAGATGAAGACTTGAGAAAAAAGAATCGTTGTATATTATTCATATTATCATCTGCATTGTTAACTCACAGGAAGAAATCCTCGTCCATCTGCTTCTTATAAACATGATGCAATTACTAATTTCTTTCATGTGTGATGTCGAAAGATAGAAAAAAAAAGATCGAATTTTCTCAGAAAAATTAGTTTCTCTCTTCTTCAGCATATTGATTCATTCGATTTTTCATCTGTATGTGTTTTCCTTTTATTTGCATAGAAATATTTGCTAATTTAGCCTAATAAATGACGCTACAAAAATAAATGACTTTACCACAAAAAAAAATGAAGTTTTCAGATCATGATGACATGTTAAACTGTTAACGAATGAGAAAAAAATGTCACAAAGCTTAGACGTTCTTGCATATACGCTTTTTCATGGATTTAAACGCTGCTCAACCTTCTTCACGGATTCATTTCATACTTTATGGGTATGATAAATAAATATAGTTTACATGTCGTTATAACGTGTAGCTATAAACAAATTCAGAAAAGAAGGTAATAAGTTGAATTTACGAAACATGAATAGTGTCGTTGAGCTACACTTACGTAAGGGTGTGGGTGTGGGTGTGGGTTTACTTCTCATACACCCACACCCACACCCACACCCACACCCACACCCACACCCACACACGCACACCCACACTCACACCCACACCTACACGCACACCCACACACCCACACCCACACCTACACCCACACCCTAAAGAACATAAGGTGCATTCATTCACAAACGATCTGTGATATAATGGAGACTATTCTATCTTGAAATAAAGGTTAATCAATGATACACGATTTCGTTATTCACTGTGGGTGTGGGTGGGTATTAATCTTCTCCTTACACCCAGACCCACACCCATCCATAACACTGCCATAAAGAAATATACCAGTCTCGCTCGATTGTAACAATACTAGAAAATGTGATATACGTAAGATGCGTGTCAGTTCTTCGGCAACGGAATGTTCAAGAACGGAAACATTGACACTTTACTTTTAATGTTTGATAATAGGATATATTATTTTGGCAAGTAAGATTCGTGTTCGAAATTTTTCTGAGTCAAGGCTGTTTTTAGGACTTGTTAGATCCGTTTTATTAACTTCATGGTAGATGAGAAAATATATTTCACTGAAAATAAATACTAAGAAAAAATAAGATATTTCATGTTACCACTCTAGTAGTATTTTATTAACTAGCCGGTCAATGGAAGCCTTAGTATTAATATAATTGTATTTTTAGATGAGCAATTAATAAAATGTTATCTATAGAAATATTTAAGAGAAATTCATACATACTATTAATTTACAAGTTTTCACGGTAGAAAAATAAAGCAGTTTTTGTTAAAAATCATGATATGCACGAAAACATATCTTCATATATACTTAAAATTGAATGAATTTTCTTCTCATTTCAGCCTTTAACGTGTGTAAAAAAAAAGCATCCAAAGACCATCGTTGAGTGAAATCATCTCGAAGTTCTGCTAAGCGCAATATCAATCTTTGTATGAATGTCAGTTTATGTTCTCAATTTACTTTCTTAATATCAAGAAAAAACAAGAGGTTCATAATAATTGCATTTCGCTTATCAACATGAAATACTCACTTTTAAGTTTTGCTTTCACTTCAACATCGGAAAACGAATAACTTATAACATAAAAGAGTAATTCAAAGACTGCTTTTGATTTACGACTAACTTCATATCGGTATGCAACTTTTCTATATTAGTTCTACAAATGGCTGTGCTAACAAGTTTTCATTAAAAAGTTCAGCAAAAAATAACTTATGTCATTAGTTTAATCTCAAATCAAGAAATAAGGTAGGCGAAAATTGTTTCATCTATCCTTAGAGAAACTCATTTAGAAGATTATCTTTCATCTCAATCCACTGATTCAGCATTATTTTAACAACGTTATCATACTTGTAGATCTGTTTCGTTCTCGATGTTCGATATCATCACGAGGATTTTGCCAACAAGGTTTGGCCACAATAATAATTTCTATTGCGAATCGAGCTAAAAGGCGCAAAGAAACAAAAAGACCACCGATTAGGCCGACAACAGTTGTAACTAAATCGATGATATTTAATCGCTGGACAGATGTGTACGTGCAGCTGGCCGGTGCACATGCCTGATAGTAACCATTGAAATCACCTTTAATCTCCCACTCTTCTACTGCAAGTTGTTGAAATAATGCGTCAAGACTATCAGTCGTTGAAAAGCGCGATGGAGCCGATTTGTTCAGCACAGGAATGTTAAGCGTAGATGCAGGTAAAGGAAGTCTATCTGGCATGTCAACATTGTAATTTGAGAGAATAGTGTTAAAACAGACTTGATCATAGAAGCATCGTAAGTCGGATGAAAACATACTTTCGTAGTGAGTACAAGCCAAGATTAGACCTGGTACAGTCCAAACAGTAGTACCTGCTGTACAATTGTTTCCAAGAATGCACTCGAAGCCTACGTAAGCAGTTGCACATTCAGGGTAAACACTGCAAGCGCACGAATTGAAAGCGAGTGGTGACGGTGAATTATGAATGACCAACCATGAGTCATTGACAAACAGTGATTGATATTTAAAGCCATTCTCTATTCCACTAGCAATCAATGACAAATGCACCAGTGATGATAATTGTCCCATATTATTTGCTGTCTGTGTCTGAAACGATTTGATGAGCAAGTCCGCCTGTGCATTGAATTCAGTCGCTAAAAGTAGCATCACATTCTTTTATAGGCTAGTTTGAACATACAATTAAATAATGTATTAACAAGCGATGAAACATAAGAGAAAGTTTGGAGAAAAATATAATGATAGGCTTTTGATTGAAAAGTATAAAAATATAAGAATCAATGGATAGTCTGAATCATTGAAATATTAAAAAAAATCAGTTTTGCCTCCTCCTCAAAACAAGTTTTGATATCATAAAAGTAATACTATTCATCAATAATTTTTAAAGTTGCTTACGTGAAAGTGCTAAAGCGCTGATAAATGTATCCTTGAAAAATACATCTTGAGCATCGACAATTGTAGTATCAACCCATTCACAGAATAGGGCATATGCGAGAAATTTGCGATATCCAGCGTTTCGAAAATCCATGCGCGGTAAGGTTAGCTGTTTTGATGCATTTGAAAACTGAATTTGAAAGTAGCCGGAAATCCAAGCGGATTTTACAAACATGCTTGTACAAATCTAATAATGACAGATGAAAATGGTTCATATTAACTAAAGCATAGAAATATAATCTTTAGAAGTAATTTAATTATATAAAATTTTGTAAAACCTTTCGAAAAATTTTCTTTTTATTGAATTATGTTTATATTTCAACTAATACTAATGTTCTTGGCGCTGACATCTGACTAGTGTCCTGATACATCGTAATTGACGATTGTTGAATTCTAAGTATGTAGAACAAGTTCATGGGCATATAGATTTCGTTCAGTTTTTCTGCCACTATAAAACGACATATCAAAATTGAGATTACCACATTGTATGATGAGAAAAATCACAATATTATCATCCTAATTAGCAGTTATTGTGATTGATAGTAATTAAATGATCGTGAAAGAATTTTCTCACCAGCGCTATATAGTAACATTGTTGTCAATAAACCATTCTGTAGCAGTAGAAAAGTTACAAAAGATGCACTTAGTTTGAAAAAGTTATGAACTTATTCTAATTTCTTAAAATTCGAAATTAATCAATCACGATGCAGGACACTACACTTGATACTTCATGTCAATCATGATCGTTGAAAATTAGAATTCAATGTTTTCATATTTTAGATTCAAACTCTTATGAATATAGAACAATATGAATATATTGTATGATGTAAGTAGTTTCCAAGTTATTATCAAGCACAAATGCTTGAAATTGAAAATCTTTCAAGCATGTATTCTCTTATATTCAACACAATGGAATCTTCGAAAAGCACTATCATATTGATGTTCTTCGCAATGTGTCTTTCTATTGCAAAGTGTATTAAAGAATTATCATAGGTTACTGCAGTTTCAAGACATTTTGTATGAATCATTAACTTCAAATTTCACTGTCCGAAGTAGCAAAATAAACTGTGACGATTTTTGATAATTTATCAGTGTCATTTGATCGTATTACGATTTGTTTCTATGATCTTCCAGACAGAAAAATGCACTTATTGTTGTCATTAATGGTTTGTCGAAAGTACAATTGAATGTATAGACATGATTTCTACTGTTCATTAGTTCTCAAGTCAAATGTTCGTTAGATTTCTTAAAATTCTTTGATCTCATATGTGAGAACTCTTGCCATGATTATTTATTTTTGTTTTACCTGATGAAAGCGAAGAGACAAAACATTCGTCATTTGACCTTGAGGAATAGCCATCTGAGAACAAGGACAGGTAAGTGTTAGCGGATATACATTGTACAAACGTTCAAACGTAGTACGCGATGGATTTGATACTGTGAAGACAAGCGTCTGGACACTAAGCCACAAATAAAATGTCAGAATAATGATACTTGTTACAAGTAAAAGTATATATACACGTGTAACAAGAATGGAAACTCTCTGACGGTCAGGACTATCCTAAAATAAAGCAAAATTTAGTGTAATGTGATGTCATCTTTTTCATTGAAATAAAAATGTTAGATTTGTAAATGGAAAAAAATCACGCATTGAAGATGGTGGAAGCAAAAAAGAAAATTTTCTTTTGTAAAATTTGCTCAGTTTTTTTTCTTTTGGTAGTTTTCATGCAGGTATTTGGAGTATTATTGCCACTTTTTAATGTTAATCTAATGAATTTATCATATATTTATCTGATACATTCTGGAACTTCATTAATCTCTCTTTTCGATTTACATTCTAAGAACATGACAATATCATAATTTAACAAAAAATTGTCCGTTCTCAAAATCCTAGAATAGAGCAAACCTCATAAATATAAACAGACAGCCTGATTACTAGAGAATAATATTCGTTAGCTATGTTGAATGTTTCAAATATTTCTGAGATCTTATAACAGAGAAATAAACATGTCTAATTAATAGAAAGATCGAGTTTTCTGATGAAGTCGATGCATTTAAGACGTAACAATGATTTTTTCACAAACATCAAAAGTTATCTAACATCTAAAATCTCAACTGAAGGTCGAAAAACGTGACTTGAAATTCAAAAATGTTACAAGTTAAGTTCGAAAGTTTCCGTTTCTTGATAATGCATGAGAAAGATTTTAAGTCTACTAAATATATTTCTAGAAAAAGAAAAAAATTTGAAACTTCATTAAGCCAACTAAAATTAAACCGAATCAAAAGAATTGAAGTCATCAATTGTAAAAAATATTTCTAATGATTATATCGAATCATAATAAATTTTTGGGTGTGGATGGATGTGGTCGTCTATTTTATACGTAGGTGAAGTTAGCCTCATATTCGAGTAAATCCAGCCAAGATTCGGCGCCAAAGTTGCCCCAGCTGCGCCAGACAGCGCCAGCATACAACTCGACGAGCTCTATCCATTGGTGACTTTGGATTTTCCCTAGCTTGAACTATTCGTGTGAAAATCCCAAAATACTATTTTTTTCCTATGCAAATCTTACCATATGGATAGTAAACCCAGCCAAGATTCGGCGCCAAAGTTGCCCCAGCTGCGCCAGACAGCGCCAGTATACAACTCGACGAGCTCTATCCATTGGTAACTTTGGATTTTTCCTAGCTTGAACTATTCGTGAGAAAATCCCAAAATACTAGTTTTTTCCTATGCAAATGTTAGCATGTGGATAGTAAATCCAGCCAAGATTCGGCGCCAAAGCTGCTCTAGCTGCGCCAGACAGCGCCAGAATACAGCTCGACGAGCTCTATCGATTGGTAACTTTGGATTTTCCCTAGCTCGCACCATTCGTGAAAAAATCCGAAAATGCTAGTTTTTTCCTATGCACATCTTAGCATATGGATAGTAAATCGAGCTTAGTATTTTCGAATTTTTTCACAAATGGTTTCAGCTATGGAGAATCCCACGTTACCAATCGATAGAACTCATCGAGTTCTATTTTGGAACTGTCTGTAGCAGCTTCCTGGAAGAATGTCGGCTGAGTTTATTAACCATGTGGTAAGATTAGCATAGGAAAAAATTAGTATTTTGGAATTTTTTCACGAATCGTTCAAGCTATGGAAAATCGAAAGTTACCAATCGATAGAGCTCGCCGAGTTGTATTCTGGCGCTGTCTGGCGCAGGTGTGGCAGCTTTGGCGCCGAATCTTGGCTGGATTTACTCGAATATGGCGCTAACTTCACCTACGTCTATTTTATCAAGAAAAGAGACATCCATATCCTCAGTTAGAAATCTTTTTCTAGCTAAAGATTGTTTAGTTCTTATAAGAATTTAGATTTTCTTTTTCTGTTTTCATCATGTCAAACTTTGTCACATGTATAGCTTCAGATTCTTTTGACTTTAAAGAATAAATAATTCGAATCCAATGTCTATTCGTACGTACCAGCATATCAGATAACAATAATGAAACAAATAACATAAACTTACATCGAAAACATTGAAAGAATATATTTTCTGTCGAATAAAATTGAATGTCTTTGTCACTCGAGCAGACCATCCTACGATCATAAGAATAAATTCAATAAAAAATAAAAATATAAATCAATAAATAATTTAGAAAAGCTCGTGAATTAGATTCTATTCTTTAAAGTATTTATCTTGAACTAATTGATAACATAAGAATAGTATTACTGTAGCAAAATACAACTTTATTTTTTTTTTCAAAATGCTACGAAAAGAAACAGTTAGTGACTTATACGATTCGTAAGAAAGACAAAGCAAGATGAGAGATGGAAGTTTATGTATTGAGCAGTGTAGTTTCATTGGCTCATATTCAAAGACGTTGCTCTTTCATTATGGAAATAAGTTTAAAAAACTTCAAATTATTCGAAAAAGAGTCGTCACAAAAGATTCACGGATAGTGTATAAATCTGAGTTCATCACAGACAAGACAGAATTTCTAGAGAAAGTAATAAAATTTTCTCTAAATCTATCGTTGAAAACAATTATTTTTTCAAGACATTTGTGATGAAATTCATAATTATTCTTCCAAGAAATTATGATGCTTATCTACCAAGCAATTTATTCTGTAACAAAGCTATTGTATACGTGTTCGATAGATAATCTACATTAAGAAAGAACAAACATTTAGTAAAATTTCAATTTTATTCTTGAGTTTAGTAGCTTGTATCGCTTACAAATTCGAACATGAAAATCACTAAGAATAGAAAAAATTGTACTATGAATACAACTTTTTCTGGATACATTATCATTTGTCTTATATTTCTGTGTAGAATCTTTGAAAAAGCATTTAATAGTTTTAGTAGATTGAAAACTCGTGACTTTCTCATAATATTAATATGTGCCACATGAAGAATGATTTGATATTATTTTTTTCCAAAGAACAGATTCAAAAAATGAAATTTATTTCGTGAATCGTTCTAGAAAAATAACTTGTTTCGAAGAAGAATCATAGTTGAAATTGCAAAAGGGAAATTCGACGAGAATATGCAACCACTTAAAGTATTTCATTACTTTAAATTAAATTCAGAAAATATATACAGTTAGGCATGTACCGAGCCCGAGCCCAGACCGAGCTACTCGGGCTCGGTCGGCT